TCTCTTCAGGCTCATTCTCCCACTTTGTACCGATGAGACCATTGAGAACGTTGCTGTAGATGGTGTCATTGAAGAGGAATGGTTCCTGCTGGACAAGTCCGATCTGCGATCGCCACCACTTGACGTTGATGTCATCAAGAAAGTGGCCACATGTAGAAATTCGGCCACGGAGCTCAACAGGCGGTCCTGTTTCGTCTCCTGCGAACGAAAGCTCCTGTAACTCTTGCTCGTCCTCCTCTTTGTCGCCATTCTTCTTCTTATCGGTGTCACCCTTCGCCGGCTTCTCGACTGGTTTGGAGATGACGTACTGGTCTTTGAGGCTGTACCATCGCTCGACAAGACCGACGATTGTACTCTTGCCTGAGCCAGAGGGACCGACAATCGCCGTGACCTTGCCTGTTTCAATTCGCAGATTGAGGTTATCGAGGATCTTGACGTGCGGTCGACTGGGGTAAGCGAAAGTGACGTCCTCCAAGACGATGTCTTCTGTCGCAGACACATCTGGGTCGGTGAGATGGCCTGGCTCAGGTCGGGGTGCATCAATAACCGTGAAGAACTCGCAAGCTGCGACTGTCGCTTTGCTAACCGCTAGAAGCGGCGTAGAGATTCGTTCCATTGCCGTGACAATCATCATGACAGAGAACAAGACGACAATGATTGCTCCAAGCTGATTGATCTTATCGTCGAGTAAAAGCCTGGTTCCGTACCAGAATGCGAGGCCAAATGCAGCGTAACTGCTGAAGAACTGCATTAATGTCACGTTAGCAGATTGCAGCACAGAAAGGCTGTTTGGGACATACCACTAAGCCATATTGAAGCGCGATAAACGGGCCAGCAAATTGCGCATGCTTCTTTGCCTCTTCAACGAATTTGCCGTACTTGTTACCAATGCGTGATTCGGCGCCGTAAGCGACAATCATTCGAATGCCGCTCATGGCTTCGCTAGCTACAGACATCGCCAGAGCTTCGGACTAACTCTTGCATCAGCGACATCTTGCAGGATCTAAGAATCGGGACATACTTTGGTCTGGTTCGTCTGGCCCTTGGTAATGTAAGGAAGTACCAGGCTGACACTGAAAGTGATGAAGACAACGGCAGTGAATGTCACGAGAGAGAGCTGCCAGCTGTAGATGAACGCGACGATGATTGAAGCGATCATTGTGGCATTGTACTCCACAAAAACACCCAACTTCTCAGAAATTCCGAGCTGCAGAGTGTTTCCAGTGGTCGTGATGATTGTGGTGGCATATCCAGGTGGCATAGAGTCCAGTACATGGACACTTTGCGAGAACAATGCCGTGAAGTAATCCTGACGAATGGCGGAGGTTATTCTCACACCGGTCATACGAAATGCGAACTGAGAATTGGTAAGAAAATGTAGTAGAAACAATACACTGAGACAAAGAACGTACGTTGTTGATGTAGCCCAGCACAAGGCGACCGAGGAAGAGACCAAGCAGGTACAGACTATCGCGGTGCGTATTAGAGATCTCAAGCGAAAACTAGCATTTTCGTATCGCGGGTTAAACTCACCAAAGTTCGCTAAGCTTTGAGCGGAACTCATCGCCCGGAAGCGTTTCGGTGCCAGCATAGTCAGAGAACTTGCTAGCGAATTGACCTACAGTCCGACGGACTCATTAGTATCAAACTTCAAAGTCGGGCCTCATTTGTTCACTTACCGAAAACAATGTTCAGCAAAGGCAGGGTTATGCCGACACCGATCGAGGCTATTACACCGACGATATATGCCAGGAGGTCCCATTTGGAGGCATACTTGAAGACTCTCTACATAACAGGAGAAGTTTTTGGTATTAGCCGCATATACTTGCTTCAACTTGATGGCGCTGTGGTTGTCATACCATATAATCCTGAAAGGTAGGCTCTCTCTCCGGACGCCCATCAATGCCCATCTCAGGATGCTTCTCTTCACTCTCCCCATTCACCGCTGAATTCTCCGCTGTTCGTTTTCCCATAGTGAATGATGGATAGAGAAACGGTTTGCAAGCGTCAAGCCTCTCTTCTCACTCAACAATACTGTATGTTACCCCCAAAGCAAATGGGGGTAACGACAAATACCGTTCCTTGATCGGGCGCGCGGACACGCATGTTTTCCCGTCGGAATCTACCCAGAGTCCGAGGACCCGCTATATTTTAAGACATAACAAAGGGACTTCCCATGCGTCAGCACGGCACAGGAAAGGGAGTGGGATTCTTCTGGGCGTCGCATGATGACTGCATGGAACAAAGGAAGGAATGTCGGCACAGAGACTTGCCGGGTGATTGTCTCAGCGGGGAGTGCAGTAGCGGTTTCTTACATGAGATCATATGTCTAGAAATTTCTTGGTTTTTTCAACGTGGGGGCTAAGTACATAATTGGGAGTGGTATGAAGTGGCGTTGACGATTGAGATGAGGGAATGAGGCCAGGTAATGCTGTCAGGCGGGGAATTAAGTTGAGTTACGGCTCGGAGCGCTGTGGTCCACTTTCTTGTCTTGAGAAAATCCCCTTGCAGTCCAATCGGAATTTTCCATTTTACTCCGTGGCCATCCCTGGCGGCAGATTTAATGGCCCGTCTTTTCTTTTAGACAAGCCGCAGATTGGCGCGTGAATGTGATGTGATAGGCAAAATTGAGTTTCCGACGACATGTCGATCGCCGCTCGTATAATGCTCGATTGGGAATACGAGGTGGTCTCATGCTGATGTGAGGTAAGGATTCTCTGTACAGGGAGGTTTGGATTTGATGCTTGTCTGCTTTGGGCGAGCCGGAGTATGGACCACTACGGCAACTACGCATTGCCAATTAATAAAATGCTGTTCCAAGCTATTGGTAGTAGAATGTAAGACAACCGGATAAAATAGTAGATAAGAATATTATAACTAATCTAGCGTGTTAAAAATTAAGTTAAGTAAAAATATTAAGACATTTACAGTAGTCTAGGCCTAATCTACCCTGTATTACAGCAATGCTCTACCCAACTCCACCTTATCCAAGCTCTCACAGCGCTCAACTAACCCAATTAAGCCCCTGTGCACGCTAACATCTAGATCTGTACCCAAAAAACAAGCCATATCCACAACCCAACCAATTAAGTCCCGTATCTCAGTCTTCCTTCCAGCCTCTATATCCTGTAGCATAGAGCTGCGATGTTCAAATATCTTGAGACCAAATGCATAAAGCTTTGACTTCAAGATTGGCTGTGAGAACCTCTCTATTAACTTCTTTCGGACCTTGGAATCGCTTTGCTGCAGATTGCACCCCGGCCCATGTCGTAGAATTTGTTCAGCGTAGGAAGTGATAACGCTGCGGCTCGTATCGTGGTCAATAAGACCTTGGATAACAGCACTTGTTTGCCAGAGGAGCTTATCGATCACCCGTGTCAAAGGATCATCCGAGTCATAGGATGTAAACAATTCCCCCGTCTTGCAGCGCAGTAGAGCCGTGAGTGGATTGATTGCCGCATTCATGACCAACTTCTCCAGCTGAAGGAGCCAGATCTCCCCGGAGGACACCTGCTTCGTGTTCACAAGCGGTGTTGTGGCAATATGCCGGATAAAGAAGTCATCCAATGGCTGCTCCCACGGCGATTTGGGATCAGATGCCCAGAACACAGGCCCGATGTATGCGTCAGCCGGAGCCGCATGGACGCTCAGGAAAGGACCTGCCGATGCAACCCCATGACTCACGACACATGCGGAGAATGTTGGAGGATCACCGCTCGGGTATCGATGAGAGATGTATAAAGGGCCGTGGGGAGGCCAGAGTTTGCAGACTCCGTTCTGAGCAAAGACGATAGAGCTGCATCTCCCAAGGTAGCGACGAATGCGATCTGCTTCTGCGAGTCCAGCTTCTGCCTTTGTGGAGATGAAGATGTTGTGAAGCTTCTTTCCGTCTGCGACTTCTTTCACAGGACCGTAGTGAGGTCTTGTTTCGGTCCACCACTCGACGGTGAAGCGTTTGTTGAGGAAGAGTTTGCCGCTGGTTAGGTCTGCGAGCCCGACGCCTTCACATGACGCCCACTGCGATAGCAGTTCCTTTCGATGAACGACGAGGGTGATGGGGAGTGCATTGGGATGGCGAGCCATGTGAGTTGCGTACAATCGGCCAATGTTGCCAGGACCGATGATATAAATGCGCTCATCAGAGTCTGTTGAGGAATCGACACAGGCATCATTGTCGTACTCTTCATCACTGTTGGAACTTCCCATGTCAATGCCTTCATCAAGCTTTGGCTGGATGTTGGCGGGAGACCAGGCGAAGAGCTTTGGGGGCGGCCTTGTGTCGGCTAGGAGGGCCGTCAACCAGCTAGGGTGTTCTTGGGAAGCCATGGTGCTTGCAAATGGTCATGCCTTTTCAGAACAATTTGGAGAGATTGAGTGCTGGTAAAGGACTTGATGTGTAAGTGGGTGTTTTGTTTACGGCTTTAATGTGTGATAGAGGTAGTGAAACGAAGAGACAGGAGGGCATTTGCTATACAGGGTGTCATAAAGGGTAATGCAAAGATACCTGGAATTATTTTAGACTACTATTACTATTTTTGTAAATTCGTTTGTAATTAATTAGTAATATTTTAATACTGTAAATAGTAAGTAGCATCTTGGCCCTTTACTAGCCTACCTTATAACAAGGCATCACCCTCAACTGCTAAGTAAACTACTAAATTCGGCAATTGACCACTACCGGCAATTGACCGGCTCGCATAGATTTGTAAACCGCGTACTACCGAGACACGGGACGATTTAGTATGCAGATTATAATGTCAGACTGATTGGCCTGTCTCTCTCCCGCCCCCTCCCGCGGGCTGTAGGATTCAGCCGAGAGTAAGCCCTACTTATGCAGGTCAGCGCCACAAACACCCATTATCACTCCCTGCAGAATAACCCGTGGTAGCCAATCAGTGCACTCACCCAATTGCAGGATCAGGATCTGCCAGAATCTGAATCATATGAAGGATCAGCAGGTCAGCTGAAGATAGCATTGCAGTAAACTTGCAGGCTGTGACGCCGTCGAGAAATGACAGCGGGTAACATCGTGCGAGGCTGGATGAGACAGAATACGCCTCGCAGGATCTTTTGATGAGACCTCATGATGGAAGCATCCAGAGCCTTAGACATTGGATGATCATCCTGGGAACTTTGGGATGCCGATGTGCCTCTTTGGTAAGGAGCACGTAATGTTGGCTCAGATATGGTGCCAACACGAGAATTGCTGCATGGTGCGCTGCATTCCTGCAGTTGAGGTATATACAGAAAAGGTTGACAGCCAGCAGGAGTGGTTCACCCTGAGATACTGAAGCATTCTGTCCTATCAGCTTGTACAAGCTGTGACTTTGGTGGGAGACTCTTATTGCCTACTCAAACCCCCATGTTACTCAGTCGGACAATCCTTCAATTTCAAACACTTCTCTTACATTCAACATGACATCACTCAACACCAAGAGTGGCTCTACACAACCAGTCATGCCTTTGTTGCTGCCCAGTGACGATGCTAGTCACACCGACACTCTTGTCGAGGAAGTCACTCGTTCTTTCGGTCTAGGCCGAGATAGAATCGAGAATATCCTCCCCAGCACGGCGTTCCAACAGGATGTCATTGACTGCGCTGGTAGTAACAAGCAACGGTCCATTGGCCATGTTGCCTATGAGATCAGCAATGACATCGACATCTCAAACTTGGCTGCTGCTTGGAAAGATACCATCAACCGAACTCCTGCCCTGAGGACATGCGCGTTTACTTCCTCGAGCGGAGATTCGTATCAGGTTGTCTTGAAAGAGAGCTTTGTCTTCTCATGGATGTTTTGTACATCTGTTGATCAGAAAGATGCCGTTGTGCAGGATGAAGCGGCAGCTGCGGCCTCTGGGCCTCGTTGCAACAGATTTGTTCTTCTTGACGACCCTATTGGAAAGAAGAAGCTCCTCGTCTGGACTTTCAGCCATGCCCTAGTCGATAGCACCTTTCAAGAGCTGATTCTTGGAAGAGTTCTGAAGGCTTACAAGCATGGGCATGATGAACTCTCCAACAGGCCCTACACGCCTGAGTATTCGGATCCTGAGGATGATGGTCTGTCGTTGACTCCTACTGATGGGTCGAAGACTCCTGAAACTGGCGGTATCCATCCTGCGACTCAGTTCTGGGAGGACTACTTGAGTGATCTGAATGCGTCAGCGTTTCCGCACTTGACTTCTCCCTTGGCTGTTCCCTATCCCAACGCAAGGGCAGACCAGCATATCTGCTTCACAGCCTCGGCTCAGTCGACTTGGCCCAGTATAGCTGTCTGCCGAACAGCGCTTGCGATTCTCTTGTCACGCTACACGCACTCGCCCGAGGCGTTGTTCGGCGTAGTGACAGAGCAACAGCAACTGCTGGCAAATGGCCCAACACGGACCGTTATACCTTTCCGCGTACACTGTGCCTCTGACCAGTCTCTGTCAGATATCATCAGCGCAGTCAATGTCAACGATGATGCCATCCGCCAGTTTGCAGATGTCGGTCTTCGCAACATCGCTTCCACGGGGGATGATGGCTCTGCTGCTTGCGGATTCCAAACCGTTCTGCTCGTCACTGATGCTGAAACTGGGCAGGCCTCTTCTTGTGACCTTCACCAGAAGACTGGAGAGTCTGAGCTATTCATGCCCTGCACCAATCGCGCTCTGTTACTCCACTGTCAAATGATCCGTGATGGGGTATCAATCGTTGCCAGATATGACGGGAGCCTCATCGACTCCCAGCAAATAGCTCGCCTCCTGCGACAACTAGGTCATTTGATCCAGCGCCTACGAGACTCGCCAGATGAGCTACCATCTGCGGGTGAAGTCGACATTTTGACACCAGAGGATCAAGCTGAGATCCAGAGCTGGAACTCACACCCCATCCCTTCACAGAACACCCTCATCCACAAAGAGATGCTCAAAAATGCTTTTCTATCTCCCAGCAAAGCTGCAGTTTGCGCTTGGGACGGAGAATGGACCTACTCCGAGCTTGACAACATCACCTCCCGCCTAGCCGCACTTATCAAGTTCAGCACCGCAGACCAGGAGCACGCGATACTCCCAACTTACTTTGAGAAGTCAAAATGGGTCGTCGCTTCAATGCTTGCCGTCATGAAAGCTGGCCATGCTTTTACGCTCATTGATCCGAATGATCCGCCTGCTAGAGTAGCGCAGGTCGTTGGGCAGACGGGAGCGACAGTGGCGCTTACTTCCAGGCTTTACAGTGGCAAAGTGCGAGGCATTATCGAGCGATGTATTATTGTTGATGATGAGCTTGTCCAATCGCTCATTTGCACCTGCGCCTTTACTTCGGATCTTGTTCTTGCCACGGTTACTCCAGAGGACCTAGCCTATGTTATCTTCACATCTGGCAGCACGGGCGATCCCAAGGGCATCATGATCGAGCATCGAGCCTTTTCTTCTTGTGCCCTCAAATTCGGGTCTGCACTCGGTATCAACAGCGACACGCGCGCTCTTCAATTTGGATCTCATGCATTTGGCGCGTGTCTTCTTGAGATCATGACGACTCTGATCCACGGCGGCTGCGTATGTATTCCCTCTGATGACGATCGCATGAACAATGTTCCTGCTTTCATCAACAGGGCCAATGTCAATTGGATGATGGCGACACCATCTTACATGGGCACGTTTCAGCCTGAAGATGTCCCTGGACTGCAGACTTTGGTGCTAGTTGGCGAGCAGATGTCACCCTCTGTCAACGCCATCTGGGCTCCTCGCGTTCAACTCTTAGATGGCTACGGCCAGAGCGAGAGTTCTTCCATCTGTTTCGTCGGCAACATTAGTTCATCAGGGGCTGACCCAAACAACATCGGCCGCTCAGTTGGCGCGCACTCTTGGATCATTGATCCCAGCGACCCCAACCGTCTAGTCCCAATTGGCGCGATTGGTGAGCTCGTTATTGAGAGTCCAGGCATTGCGCGCGACTACATCATTCCTCCACCAACAGAGAAGTCGCCCTTCTTCTCAACAGTTCCAGCATGGTACCCTTCCAAACAGCTACCCAACGGGTTAAAGTTCTACAGAACTGGTGATCTTGCGCGTTATGCATCCGATGGCACTGTCGTTTGTCTCGGTCGCATGGACTCGCAGGTCAAGATCAGAGGGCAGCGCGTTGAGCTTGGTGCAGTTGAGACTCATCTCCGACAGCAATTACCTGACGACATGTCAATTGTTGTTGAAGCTGTCAAGACATCGGACTCGCCTACGAGCACTGTTCTCGTGGCATTCTTGATAGTCTCTAAGGGAACTGAGGCTGCAGGAGATGCTACCATCCTAGATCTGGCTGCTACCAAGGAGATGAGTGCGAAACTGGAGCAGGTCCTCCCCCGTCATTCCATCCCATCGTGCTACATCAGCATGCAACATATTCCTCGCACCGCCACTGGCAAGGTCGACAGACGAAAGCTTCGCTCTATCGGTCGCGACATCTTGGCCCAGCAGCTCCAAGGAACCAGCTCCCTACCATCTCAATTGAGCTCTCCAACAACCAGCAGCCGATCCAAGCTCGAGGAGGTATGGTGCCAATGCCTGGGTCTCGAATCTGGCGCTGCCAACATTGGATCAACCTTCTTTGAGCTGGGCGGCCACTCCATCACTGCCATCAAGATGGTCAACATGGCTCGGTCAGCAGGTATAGAGCTCAAGGTCTCTGACATCTATCAGAACCCTACTCTCGCTGGCCTTGAGGCTATTGTCAACGGTAGCGCTGTGCCATATACCCTCATCCCAACGACGACTCGCGATGGACCTGTTGAGCAGTCTTACTCTCAAGGTCGACTCTGGTTCCTGGATCAGCTTGAGGTCGGCGCTCTATGGTATCTCATTCCCTACGCTGTTCGCATGCGAGGATTGGTAGACATTGATGCACTGAGTCGTGCTCTGATGGCCTTGGAGCAGCGCCACGAGACCCTGCGCACTACCTTTGAGGACCACGACGGCGCGGGTGTACAGGTTATTCACCAGACTCTCTCCAAGGAACTGAGAGTCGTCGATGCGATAGACGGTGACTACCTCCGACTGCTGGAACAAGAGCAGACCACTCCATTCGATCTCACTTCCGAGGCAGGCTGGAGAGCACTTCTTATCCGCCTGAGCGACACCGACTACGTCCTCTCCATCGTCATGCACCACATTATCTCCGATGGCTGGTCAATTGACGTTCTCCGGCACGACCTCAGCCAACTCTACGCCGCAGCTCTTCAAGGCCGCGATCCCATTTCAGCCATGAACCCTCTCCCCATCCAGTACAGCGACTTTGCCATGTGGCAGAAGCAGGAGGCTCAAGCGCTCGAACACGAGAAGCAACTTGACTACTGGAAGAAGCAGCTCGCCGATTGTTCACCGGCCAAGTTACCCACCGACTTCCCTCGTCCGGCTCTTCTATCCGGTGAAGCAGGAGTCGTGCCAGTGTCTATCGATGGACAGCTGTACCAGAACCTACGCGAGTTTTGCAACGAGAACAACACCACTTCATTCGCCGTGCTACTTGCTGCTTTCCGCGCAGCGCACTACCGTCTCACTGGCGTTGACGACGCTGTTATCGGCACGCCCATCGCCAATCGAAATCGCTGGGAGTTGGAGAGCATCATCGGTTTCTTCGTCAACACACAGTGCATGCGCATTACCGTCGATGACGAAGAAACCTTTGGCTCCTTAGTCCGTCAAGTCCGAGCTACTACCACCGCTGCATTCGAGAACGAAGACGTCCCCTTTGAGCGCGTCGTGTCAACAATGCTACCCGGCTCAAGAGATCTTTCGCGAACACCGCTTGCGCAGCTCATCTTTGCAGTTCACTCGCAGAAGGATCTTGGAAGATTTGAGCTCCAAGGTCTTGAGTCGGAGGCTGTTGCTAGCAAGGCGTATACTCGGTTCGACATTGAGTTCCATCTATTCCAGGAGGCTGATGGGCTCAAGGGTAGTTGTAATTTTGCGGCAGATCTGTTCAAGCCTGAGACTGTTGAGAATGTGGTCAGTGTGTTCTTCCAGATTCTGCGCAATGGTCTTGAGAAGCCTCAGGTCCCGATCTCGGTTCTTCCTCTTACGGATGGGATCGAGGAGCTTCGTCGTTTGGACTTGCTCAGGATCAAGAAGGTTGAGTATCCACGTGATGCAAGCTTGGTCGACATCTTCCGCACGCAAGTCGCTGCTTACCCAGACTCTTTCGCTGTTGTCGACTCTTCGTCTCGTCTTACCTATGCTGAGCTTGACCGTCACTCTGATCTGCTTGCGACATGGCTTCGTCGACGGGGTATGCCAGCTGAGACTTTGGTCGGAGTACTTGCACCACGATCATGCGAAGCGATTGTTGCGATCATCGGTATTCTCAAGGCGAACTTGGCTTACCTCCCATTTGACGTCAAGTCTCCCTCTGCGCGCCTGAACGACATCTTGTCTGGTCTTCCTGGGCCTACGATAGTGCTCCTGGGCTCAGACATCCCTGTTCCCGAGCTGGAGGTACCTGACTTGGAGTTTGTCCGTGTCGCTGATGCCGTGGAGTATTGCGACTCAAACGGCCTCAATGGTCATGCCCATATCGACGCATCGAACCCTACCGCGACAAGTCTTGCATACGTCCTCTTCACTTCCGGATCCACTGGTCGACCCAAGGGTGTCATGGTCGAGCATCGCGTCATCGTCCGTCTCATGAGAAGTAACATCATTCCCGACTTCCCAACCCAACCGCGCTCGGCTCACATGTTCAACATCGCCTTTGACGGCGCTACCTACGAGATCTTCTTCACCCTCCTCAACGGCGGAACATTGGTCTGCATTGACTACATGACTACTCTCGACGTCAAAGCACTTCAAGAAGTGTTTATCAAGGAACAGATCAACGCTGCATGCATGGCACCTGCGTTGCTGAAGCTGTATCTCACTGATGCGCGCGATGCTTTGAGGGGTCTTGACTTTCTCATGGCAGCAGGAGATCGCTTCGATGGACAAGATGCGATCGAGGCGCAGAGCCTTGTTCGGGGGCAGTGCTATAATGGGTATGGACCGACGGAGAATGGTATCATGAGTACGAGGTATCCTATCGCACCTGGTGACTCGTTCATCAATGGTGTTCCGATCGGGCGAGCTGTCAACAACTCTGGAGCTTACGTCACCGACCTGAACCAGAAGCTTGTTGGTGTCGGCGTCATGGGAGAGCTCGTCGTCACTGGCGATGGTCTTGCGCGAGGTTATTTCGACCCAGCTCTCAACAAGAACCGCTTCATTCACATTGAAGTCGATGGCCAGCGAGTAAGGGCATACCGCACAGGTGACCGCGTGCGGTACCGAGTAGGCGACGGCCTCATTGAGTTCTTCGGTCGCATGGACACGCAGTTCAAGATCCGCGGCAACCGTATTGAGTCAGCTGAAGTGGAAGCTGCTATGCTCAGCCACAGCTCTGTCCGCGATGCTGCTGTCGTTGTGCAGAAGGATGACGGTGAGAAGGCAGACTTGGTTGGCTTCGTCGTCATTGATCACGATCATTCTATGGAGGGTGACGCGAACGATAACCAGGTTGAGGGCTGGCAGGATCATTTCGAGACTGAGATGTATGCCGACATTGGGGACATTGATCCGTCTACTATTGGAAAGGACTTCAAGGGCTGGACGTCTATGTATGATGGGAGCGAGATTGACAAGGCGGAGATGCAGGAGTGGCTTGATGACACTATCGAGGCGCTCCGTGATGGTCAGGCTCCGGGTCATGTCCTTGAGGTGGGAACTGGTAGTGGCATGATCCTTTTCAACCTCGGCGACGGACTTCAAAGCTATAGGGGTCTTGAGCCATCCAAGTCAGCCGCCGCGTTTACCAACAGCGTTATCAAGTCCGTCACATCTCTGGCCGGCAAGGCCGAGGTCCACGTCGGTACAGCGCAAGACATCAGCCAATTGAGTGATCTTCACCCAGAGCTCGTGGTGATCAATTCAGTCGCCCAGTACTTCCCTTCACCAGAGTACCTGGCTCAAGTAGCGGATACCTTGGTTCATCTCCCCGGCGTGAAGCGCCTGTTCTTCGGCGACATGCGAACTAACGCTACCAACAAGCACTTCCTCGCTGCCAGAGCTGTCAGGACATTAGGTGACAATGCGACCAAGGACTCTGTTAGGCAGAAGATGGCTGAGTTGGAGGAACGCGAGGAGGAGTTGCTTGTCGAGCCAGCTTTCTTCACCACACTACAAGACCGCTTCCCTGATCTAGTTCATCATGTTGAGATTCTTCCGAAGAACATGCATGCTACGAATGAGCTTAGTGCGTACCGATATGCGGCTGTCGTGCACATACGTGACCGCGACTCAGTGCCTGTGCATACAATTGAGAAGGGCACTTGGGTCGACTTTGGCGCATCACGAATGGATCGCAATTCTCTCTTGCACTTCCTGCGACGCTCGAAGAGTTCCGAGGCCGTGGCTATCAGCAACATCCCTTTCGCCAAGACCGCCTTTGAGCGACAGATCGTTGAGTCCCTCGAGGCAGAAGAAGAGTCCAAGCTCGATGGTAACGCTTGGATCTCCGCAATTCGCTCTGATGCTGAGAGCCGTGCATCTCTCTCTGTTCCTGACCTTTCCCAACTTGCTCAAGAGTGTGGGTTTCGCTTGGAAATCAGCGCAGCGCGTCAGTGGTCTCAGAGCGGCGCCCTTGATGCTGTCTTCCACCACTTCCCATTGCCTTCGGACACCCGCCGCACGCTGATCAAGTTCCCGACTGACAACCATCTTCGAAGCTCAGCTACTCTCGCCAATCGTCCGCTACAGGGATTGCAGAGACGTCGGGCCGCGCTACAAGTTCGAGAGCGACTGCAGTCCCTGCTTCCATCGTACATGATCCCCTCCAGCATCGTGGTGTTGGATCAAATGCCTCTCAATCCCAATGGCAAGGTCGACAGGAAGGAACTTGCACGCCAGGCTCGAATTGTACCCAAGCACCAGACCGCGCCGCCTGCACAAGTGGTCCCTATCAGTGACATCGAGGCCATACTTTGCGACGAGGCGACTGCGACTTTCGGGATGAAGGTTGAGATTTCTGATGACTTCTTCAAACTAGGTGGACATTCTCTCTTAGCCACGAAGCTCATCTCGCGAGTTGAACAGCGCTTCAATGTCCGCGTCACTGTCAAAGATGTCTTCGACAATCCCGTCTTTGCTCACCTTGCAGTCGTCATCCGCGAAGGCCTTGCTTCACGCACCACATCGACCAATGGTCAAGACAAGCAAGGCTGGTCTGCCCGTGTCGCTCCTCGCACCGAGACTGAGGTCATCTTATGTGACGAGGCTTCTAAGCTTCTTGGCATTGAAGTCGGTATCACTGATAACTTCTTTGATCTCGGTGGACACTCGATGATGGCGACAAAGCTGGCCATGAGACTTGGTCGTCGGCTGGATACTACGATAGTGGTCAAGGATATTTTCGACTACCCGGTTTTGTTCCAGCTTTCCAAGAAGCTCGAGTCAGCTGGTACAGAGACTGGCGATGAAGAGGTACAGGTCGACGATTACAGCCCATTCGAACTTCTTTCGCACGAGGATCCACAAGGTTTCGTCCAGCGAGAGATTTGCTCACAGCTCAGCATCTCATTGGATTCAATCCAAGACACCTACCAGTCCACCCAAATGCAAAAGTCCTTCCTCTTCAGTCCTGGAACCGGTTCCCCACGGCCTCTTACGCCTTTCTACATTGACTTCCCCGTCGACTCAGACCCTGCTACTCTTGTCAATGCTTGTCACTCTCTGGTTCAGCACATCGACATGTTCAGAACAGTCTTTGTACTAGCTTCAGACCAGCTCTACCAAGTGGTTCTGAAGCATCTCGACGTGCCAATCGAGACGATTGTCACCAACCAAAACGTCAACACTGCTACCAACGATTTCCTGGATGAGCATGCGCAGGATCCCATTCGTCTTGGAGAGTCGTTGATACGGATCGCTATTCTCAAGCAGTCATCTTCAGTACGAGTATTACTGCGACTATCGCACGCTTTGTATGATGGTTTGAGCTTGGAGCCAATCGTGCGCAACCTTCACATCCTCTTCAACGGCATGTCGCTTCTTCCACCGACGCAGTTCAGGCGGTACATGGAGTACACTGCCAACAGTCAAGAGAAGGGTTTTGAGTTCTGGCGTGACGTGATCGGAGGTTCTCCCATGACCGTCTTGAGCGATACGAGCAACGTGGCTTGTCGCCGGGAGGTGGCACCTTCGAAGGCATTGCACTTGTCAAAGGTTGTCAGCGTTCCAAGCCAAGCTATTCGAAGCAGTATCGCTACGCAGGCGACGGTGTTTAACTCTGCCTGTGCGTTAGTGCTGTCGAGGGAATCTGGGTCCAGCGACGTTGTCTTCGGTCGCATTGTTTCAGGTCGTCAAGGACTGCCGGTCAATTGCCAGGACATCATCGGCCCATGCACAAATGCCGTACCCGTTCGCGCACACATAGGCACAGACGAGAATCATCACCAGATGCTCCGCGACATGCAAGACCAATACCTGCGAAGCTTGCCTTTCGAGACACTTGGATTCGAGGAGATCAAGCGCAATTGCACAGACTGGTCAGAGGCCACTGCAAATTTCGCATGCTGTGTTACATACCATAACTTTGAGTATCATCCCGAGAGTGAGGTAGAGCAACAACGTGTTGAGATGGGAGTCTTGTCGAAGCATGTTGAGCTGAGGAAAGATGAGCCGCTGTATGACTTGGCGATAGCGGGAGAGGTAGAGCCTGATGGAATGAGCTTGAAGGTTACCATCATTGCGAGGGCGCATTTGTTTGAGGAGGAGAGGGTGCAGTATTTCTTGGAGGAGGTTTGCAACACATTTCAGACTTTGAACCTTTCTTTGTAGGGTATCAGTGGTGGAGTTTATAGGGACAAATATCGGTAATGCTGAAGACAAGCGATGTTATTTCCTATATAATGTAATTTATTCTCTTTTGTTACTCCAACACAATTAAACTCTTAAGTCTGTCTGCCATCCGGGCCATCACTCTTCCTCCCCAAGCTTCGGCAAATGGAGCTTAGGCCGTGGACAACGCAGCATGCAAGAAGTTGACTGGGTCTTCAATACTAAGATAGAAAGCCAGAGACATGTATATAGCTCATGTCATATAATACTTCAGGCTGAGAACGTTCTCCTCTCCACTATCTGGTTCTTAACTTCCTCATCATTCAGCCCGTCTAGGCCACACATACAACCTGTGGCCGAGTGCGGCTGAGTGAGGCTGAATTGACCTAATTTCTTGCCGTTGCCTATCACATTATCATGCGTTGTCATCTTACAGCTGAACTGGCCTGACTTTTGAAGCCACATTGTTCAACGACTCCGCGGAGAAGTCTCTGCTACAGCATGCTAAACTGGCACTGTGCTGCTGTAGGAAGTCATTTGCATCTGGAAGAGTTCAAGCGATTGTGCTCTCGTGTCTATCGATGCGCTTGAGAATTATTGGAGGTAGCTCAAGTAATTTGCTATATAGATTTCTGCGGGCGACTTGTATTGATGGCCAAACGAACGCAGTTTGTATGTACTCAGCCTTCGGGACTAACTATCAGTCGGTGGGTGGTGTCCCCTGCCAGCTGATGCGCCACGTTCCGATGATGAACGGAGCATTCTTTCCGGTTTTCTCTAGCTGAAAGTGAGTTACTGAATATTTAATGGGCCTATTCTTTGTAGAAGTCTTGGAATACATTCGAGTCTCATTTACAACAGAAGCATATATTTTTGTTTAATGACTACTACAAGCTGATTAAAATCCCACACGAATATATCCTCATCATGCCTGTCCAATCAACGATTCCAATTCTTGGAGCACCAGACTATCGAGATTGGCTTTCCTTCCAAAACAATGATTCGGAACAAGAGAAGAATCGGCTGTTCATGCGCGACGTCATCCCATGTCTCTCTGACTATGCCGAAGGCACCATCTTTACCGCGATACTCGCGGAACACGAATGGCTAAAGGAGTTCGTGGACCCAGATGCGAGCTTTGCCGTTGCTCGCGCAGAAGTCGAGCGTCATCCAAATGAGGCCACAATAATACTGGCTGATTTTGTCAAGCATCTGGCTGGAACAGTCATCACAGTTGCGTGGCAAGAGAACATGAAAGACTTTGTTCAGCGTGTTGAGTAAGCCAGGGACTCTTTTGCTGAATATGGGCCGAAGTTTCTAACCTGTACGAAGAACAAACCCGAGTTCAGGGGTTCCAATGAATGACGACGAAGTAACAGAATGTCGAAAAGCCTTTGAGGAAGCTCTTCCAAAACTTGCTGATCATCCTCTTTGGAGGACTTTGAGAGCACGTGTTAGAGACTTTAGTCTTCGCATTGGTTGTCCGGCTGCTGTTGATGATCCTCTGGACTGTATAATCTCGATACGTACTCATTTGAATTCCAGAGCTATAAGGGCCCAAGACCTATCTTCGAATGATAGACTAAAGGGTGGCGATACGGAAAAAAGAAGCCATGGAGATTACACGGTTGCTTGGATCTGTCCATTGGAAGTTGAGCAAGTGGCTGCTCTGGAAATGCTAGACGAGGAGCACGAGCAGCTGCTGCAACCCAGCACTGATCAGAATGTCTATGCTCTAGGCACCATCGCCGGTCACAACGTTGTAATTGCTGGGTTGCCGCAAACCGGAAATAATTCCGCTGCAACAGTTGTCACTCAGGCCAGGGCGACATTTCCCAATCTTCGCTACGGTCTCTTAGTAGGGATTGGGGGAGGTGTACCAACCATTACCGACAACGGCATGATTCGTCTAGGCGACGTCGTGGTTAGCAAGCCAACAGGCGAGCACTCAGGTGTCGTTCAGTACGACCATGGAAAAGCAGAGGAGGGTTTCTTCCAAAGAACTGGTGCGTTGGCGCCTCCTCCAAGATTGCTTCTCGGTGCGGCTCAGGTCCTTGCTGCTCAACGGGCGAGATCACGAGTAGACCCGGTTACAGAGAACATCGAGCGCATTGATACTACTATTCGGGGTCTCCGGAAGTACAGGTACCCTGGACTTTCTGAGGATCGCCTCTATCGGCCGGACTACCCACACAGAGAGCCTAGACTTTCGTGCCAGCATGGCGGCTGTGATCCCACCAATCTTGTACAGCGCGTCAGCGTGGAAGAAGATGAAGGCGGTCCAACTGTCGTTGTCCATCGTGGCACAATCGCTTCTGGTGAGCTGGTAATTAAAGACGGCAATTTGAGGGACGATCTTGCCGAGAGATATAATGTCTTATGCTTCGAGACTGAAGCTGCAGGAGTGTTGACAAACTTCCCTTGCATGGTGATTCGTGGTATCTCGGATTATTCCGACTCGCACAAGAACGACATATGGCATGGATATGCGGCTGCGGCTGCGGCTGCTTACGCAAGGGCTCTTTTCTTTCACATGCCTATGAACTAGTTACTTTATTAAGAGGAAGAATAAAGTGACCCCAACCTCCCATCTTAATTAGCTATTTACACAAGAACTATTTAAGCAACTACAGTAAGATCACAACCATTATTCATTCTTCAGGTGCCCTATAAGTCTGGTCTATAAGCTTCTTAGCTAATATATGATTGTTAATACATAATTATCAGGGTGGAAATTAGCAGCAGTCCCATTATAAACCCCCTCCCACCCGCCGATTTGTCCGCTCCATTCTTCTTGGAGCTCTCAGTAGCCTTACTGCTATCCCCAGTCGCAGTATCAGTAGAGCTCGATGAGTTGTCGCTGGCACCTGAATCACCATTGCTATCGGAGCTCCCCTTGCTATCAGAACTGTCCTTGCCAACACCAGCGGCGGTAATAGTGTAGACAGTTCCATCGCCTCCGTTGGTATACGAAAAGACCTTTCCACTGGCCGGTGCCGTGACGGAGCCCGGGCTGTTGCTCAAGGTGGCGGTACCAGTCTTGAGGGGATCATCAGGCTTGTAATAAGTGCTGACACCTTCCAAAGAAAATGACAGCTTGGATGAACAATCGTATGTCTCCATGTATGACCCGCAGGATTTGTAGTCGACGTTCAGCTCGGACTCGAGGCTGGATATTTGTTTCAGGCCGATGAGGTTGGGGTCCGTCTTGGGGCAAATCTCGACGATACTGGCCACGTTAGTGTCGATGACTTGATAGCGTCACGAAGTGCAGCATACCTTGATAGAGCTCCACTGATCTCACAGCAGTTGCAACCCTCTATTTGCTGCAGATTGCTTCCCGCATCGCCTGAATCAGCATTGTTCGAACACGTCGCCGTCTGCTGAATGGCATCTTGTATGTTGAGATAGACTTGTCCAACGTTACAAGAGCAAGCGCCTGGCGCATTCTTGGGAGCGGGGAAGTAGGGAACTGGTTGCTTGGCAGTAGCGCAGTTCATGAAGTACGAAACCATGTACTCCTGATACTCGCATTCCCAGACCCTGTTCCAGCAAGAAGCCGCGTAGCAGTTGAAGTTGTCGACATAGTCCTGACAGCCGCATGCGAGGAGTTCTAGCTGGCTGTTATCGTGGCGAGCTTGAGCAATGCAGCTGCTTGTCTTCTTGTTGACTGAAGCCTGACACTTTTCGAGCCCTGATGCGTCGGCACAGCCTGAGCTTGTGAGTTTGACATCAGCGGTGGCTAGAGAAGCCAAGCCGACAAGAAAAAGACCGTATGTTTTCATGGCAGTTGCTTGCTAAAACAAAGTTACGGTACAAAGGGTGCCAAGACATTGCTTGTTTGATGGAGCTTCTAGTTCCCGTTATGTACTTTTGCTGTTGTCTTTCAGCTCTATGCAGGAGACTGTTGGCACGTCCCGAGATATCCGTATTTCGCCTTACGAGAGAGGGCATTTGTTGAAACAATTAAAGAATGCAGCTCTCATTCAGCCTAGACTTGACCAGATTCGGAATGCGAGCCTGTCATGTCGCCCTGTTTATATTACAGGCCCGCAACGAGCGTGCCGAGATGCCGGGCTGAGATATTTATTCTCAGCTCTCCTATCCCTTATGCCACGAAACATGCTGTCTGCTGCACTGTTTGGTTCACTTATTCAAAGGTTTCTTTTGGCATTCGTATTGTGTCAATGACTGATTAAATGATATCGAATCGGACGAGCCAGGCAGTCGTTTGCCAAAAAGGATCACTGTGTTGAGCATGCGGTGTTTCTCATTTACACTTCCTTCAAGTGGATACGATATGATCTAGGGCGGAGAGCATTCCGCGCCAATATACTCCTTCTGTGTCTTCAGCCTTATTGATATGTCAGACTGGCCTTTGATTCCGCTGACTAGCAGAATGAGCCCGCTTATCTTATCCTGAGTTGAACCAGCTTATCTGTTATCGGACTGAAATCTTTCAAGCTTCTGCTGCTTCCATGTGTATTAAAGAGGTCTGAGCCTTGTAAGCTCTTAATGTAATAGTCTTATCCTCAAACAAAACAAGCAGTCTTGAATTTAAGCGGCGACCATGCGATAGATTTATTTGGGTTATCACATTAGGGTTGTGATTATTTCGATAAATACTTCTTGGGATATTCTTTAATCCATTCAAAACGTCATAAGATAGGCATTCATGGAATGAGACAGGAAGTGAAATTACCATATGTTGAGAAAGAGATTTCTGTTCCTTTGTATCTAGGAAAGAAGAAAGACTTGACTACTGAACAGAATAAATGCAATTGCATAAGCTGTATTTTAAAATTGACACCCTTTAGGGTAAGTTGACATTATGGTCTGTGCTTGGACTTCTACCTTATTTTATTCTACAACAGTGGAGCTTTCCGCTATTCTGAGGCATGTATTTTAAGCTGTCAGAGTCTCACTGAGCAGGCAGTGTTCTGTATAGTCCAGCTGAATATGAGATAAACAGAGCCTGGGAAAGGGACTTAAGCCAGGGCCGAGTCTATTGCAGGTGGATTCTCGGCGAGCGATAAGAAAGTGGGTCAGCTAAAGCGGATCTCCGATAACATGTCAGACATCCAATCACTGTCTCTGTGTTACGGTTAACTTTGCCAGATCAAGTACGTACTGGAAGCGCTATCTCGGTGGAGCCTCTTCCCTGTAATACCGGAATGCGGGGTAGCGAGCGTCTGGGCGCTGAAGGAGGTTCTTCTCCCCTGAGGCAGAACTTCCGGGATGTGAATTTCATCATCACTCTGTAAATGCAGCATGGCTCCAGCTGTCACCATGACCGACGAGTCAAAAAGATGCCGTACTAAGAAGGCGAAAACGCGGAGTTGGTGCACCTCTCAGAGATGTGAGAGACCTAGCTAACAGGCGTGTCTAGCTGGCTGTTCTATCTGCAAGAGACGCGTAAGTCGCGGTCTTGTCGCCACGAGAAGTCTATCGTAATACTGACTTTTTAGAAAAGAAGGTGAAATGTGATGAGCAGCTGCCAGGATGCAAGAGATGCGCGAAAATTGGTGTCGAATGTCCCGGCTATCAAAAGCCTGTGAAATGGTCGGCCAAGTATGAGAGGTACATGGTTGATTCGTCACCGACTGCGGATAACTCCTTTTCTTGGTTCGACTCAGGTGCCAGAAATCTATCAAACTTGATACAGCCGAAATCAGACTCTGAAAGCGTCGAGACTCAGAACGACAATGACTCTGAAGTACAAGCACCTGGCCCTTTCACGCAAGGTTCGAGTTCGAGTTTATCTGATGCCAGGGAACACTTAGAGGACATGTTAGAAATGCATCCACCCTCGACGTTAAATTCGGAACAGCCCTCGGCATTGTGCGACGACGTCCAAGCCGATGAGGAATTTTCTCTTGCGCCCGATGCCTTACATGATGACTCTCTTTGCCTGACTTCCTACACACCAACTCTACAAACATCACTCATCCTGGACCACTACTTTACAACAGTTTGCCATTTCAACTCATCCTTCGACTCGGCGAATAACCCATTCCGATCAGAAGTTGCCAGAATGATGGCCGACTCACCCCTACTCTTTGGTTGCGTGTTGAGCATGTCAGCAGCTCATTTGTACCAGGGCGACAAAAAGAGCAGCTATATTCCACTGGAGTTCCAGACTGAGGCAATGTCACATCTTTCACAGACATTGTCTAAGCTTCCTGTGAGCAAGGAATGCGAGGTGGATGATAACCGGTCTACGGCCTTGGTATCTCGGGAGAAAATTCTGAATGTTTCGGATGACTTGCTCTTGAGCATTATATTCTTGGGAATGACTGCGGTAGGTATGTCCGCTCCTCTAGTCTGACCAGAACTGACCTGTTGACTCATTAGGCTTGGCATGATGTCTCTGCAACTGGTCTGCCACATCTCCATGGGTCACGACAACTATTCAGGTCATGGATAACATTAAACAAACTGACAGACATCGACAAAAGACGAAACATGACGAGAACACAAATATTTGTGGTCTCATCCATGGTATATTGGGAAGCTATGAGCTCAGCCCTCTTCGACCAGCAATACGAAGGCTTATCACATCTCACCATCTTTCGTGATCCCCATCCCCCAGCACTCATCCAGCCTTGTCCATGGACTGGCGTTGCAACGCCCATTTTTGTGTTTCTTGCAAAGACACTAACACTGGTGCGGAATAACCAGGCTCTGAAGAGCTTGCGGGTTTTCGAAACCGGGGAGATCCATCAGAGGGCCCTGTACGCTGAGTTACTCGCCAAAGCTACTAGTCTTGAACGTGAGATCGTGGGGTATCGGCTGCCCTATCTTGGTCTTATTGATGACATTGGAGATCCATGCACAACGCCTGATCACTTGCTGGCTATATCCCGCTGTTATCGTCTGGCTGCCCTACTAGAGCTCTACTCTGCATTCCCGGAGACAACAAGGAGAGAGGAGAGACCGGACGGTGCTATTGATTTGCACCATGGTGATGATAAGACAGATCTAGTCATGGGACTGGCATTCAGCATATTGGAAATCTTGGAAAAGATTCCAGACGACTCAGGGACAATATCGATACAGCTTCTGTCTCTACTGATCGCTGGAAGTGTCCTGGGGCCCGTCTCACGAAGGGGAGAAGGTGAAGGACCAAAGAGATTGGAAACACTTCGTTTGCGGGCTTTTGTTCGACAGCGGATTCACAAGATGTATGCGGCTGTTCGTTTGGGGCCAATTGAAAACGTCATGCTTATACTGGAGGAGGTTTGGTCGCGTATGGACATATTGCCGGCGGTTCAGAACGGGAACCCAGTGATATCGAGCTTTCACTGGATAGATATCATGTCGGAAAAGAGATTGGAAACAATATTTGGATGACCAGGCTAAACTTACTTTAATATTACCATTTGTAATAAAAGAAGCGGTTCACTATCTTATGAAAGCGGTTCTCTTTGCTTATGACTATTTACAATTATAGCTGGTTAATTAATCCTTTAATATTGCATCTTGCGTGTAAGTGGATGCCGTGTTGTTTTGTATTGAATGTAGAGTCTGGGGTATTTGCGACATCGGAAGTGTTATTTCCGTCACTCATAAGTGTTAGTCTAGTACTAAAATGGATGTAAAGTGCGAGGTTGCTCGGCCTCGGAACGTCGGAATGACTACTTCGGCCATCTTATCAGCGACCTCGTACATTTTGTCCCAATGAGGAAATAAGCTCATGAGACATCCACTGCATTTAAGATGGCCATGTTGTCTATCAATGACCTTGAGCATATCCTCACATATTCTTCTTGCTATAAGTATTGCATTTAGTCATTATGCCAACTTCAAAAGAAGGTTATCTCTGGACCAGCAACGGTCTCACAACTGGTCTCGAAACAGACTCCGTTATCAGGGGTACACCCGAAGCTTCACTCCTTGACAAGTACGATGTTGTTGTGATCGGAACAGGCTTTGCTGGACTTATCGCTGCTCGAGATATCGGTCTGACCGCCGGTAAGGTTCTTCTTGTCGAAGGCCGCGATCGCATTGGCGGAAGAACATGGACAGCCAAAGCTTTGGGTGAGGAGTTTGAGATGGGAGGAACATGGGTTCATTGGTAAGACCCTTGTGGGACGGCTGATACATAGTTCTGATGCAGTGATTCTAGGGGCCAGCCGCACGTTTACTCCGAGATCCACCGCTACAATCTTCAAGGAAACCTCAAGACCTCAGCAGGAACAGCAGATGCCAAGTACACAGCTTATACTGCAAGTTTTGCTGGTCCAAGCAAGCTTGATACCAAAGAGACGAACGAAGCAGTTCAACGAGTAGCTGACGCCTTCTTCGCCGTTGACGGCCTGACCAGTTATGATTTAATGCCATATCCCCACGATCCACTGCGCGAACCAGCACTATGGAAGAAATATGAGTATCTATCCGCCAAGGATCGCCTCGACCAGCTGGACATTCCTCAGGTCGAGAAGGACATGTTTGATGCTATGATCAGCTCTTTTGGCTCTGTGCCAGGTTCGCTGTGTGGTTTTGTCGAGGTGCTGCGATGGTACGCACTTGGTGGCCATTCAATGGCTGGCGTTTTCGAGCGCGCTGGGCTTTGTAAGCTCGGAAAGGGCGGTATGACATCTCTAGCACTGTCGATACTGTCTGAGTATAGTGGACATTTACTGTTCAATACTGTAGTTGAGAAGGTCGACCAGACGAGTAATGGGGTCACGTTGACTACAAAGAACGGTCGACGTATCAAAGCCAAATACGTGATATCGACTATCCCTTTGTGAGTACCGTAAATCTCCATTTTAGCTAGAATTGGACGCTAACGACTATCTAGGAACTGCCTATCGGATATCTCATTCAACCCTCCTCTCTCGCCACTCCGTCAAGAAGCTGCCGAGGCCGGCCATATCAACCAAGGTGCCAAGATTCACTTCAAGTTGAAGCAAACAGAGCCTGGCTGGTTCGCCATGGCAAGCGGATATGGAAGGTCCCCGTGGTGCTTTGCGTTCTCCGACCACAATGGCAACGCCAACAAGAACAATGGTACATATTGCATTGGCTTTGGCTACGGCGGGCATCTCGCAGACCCACGAGCGAGCAAAGAGATTATCGCAAGCTTCAGAGGACACATCAAGCCCGATGCTGATGTTGAAGCATATCTCACCCACGACTGGATGAATGACAATCTTGCAAAAGGTACCTGGAGCTGCTGGGGGCCTGGCCCGGCTATGAGTCGTTGGCTCAAGGAGCTTCAGAAGCCTCATGGAAGAGTCTTCTTCGCCAGTGCTGACTGGGCTAATGGATGGAGAGGTTTCGTTGATGGAGCTATTGAGAGTGGTGTCACGGCGAGTGTCGGTGTGACACGGTTGTTGTCTGGCGAGAATCTCGCATCCAAGCTCTAGTGATAGGCCTCATATGCTTGGAAAGTGCAAGATAGCCAAAATTCACGATACCTCAGGCTCGAGGTCAAAGAGGTAAGATATTAATCTTTAAACACTCTGGCTGTGACTATTGCAAGTAAGGATATAGTTTCTCAACCGCGAAATCACAGTCCGCTGTAATACCTGTTACCAAATTGTCATGGGATCTGTGAATCTGACCTGACGAAATTCCCACTCAAAAGTACTCCAGGTCCATCCCAAGTTATCATTGTCCGACCTTTATGCCCTTTGGTGCAATTTCAAGCACATGAGCAAGCTTTGCGGCAATGCAGAGGGTAGTAGGTCTAAACCTGCAAACAGTATAAAACACCCCCTTATCAAGGCAGAGGGAGAGACTCCAAGCTAGGCTAACAACCCCAAAGAAGACACATCGGCCATAACATGAATCGCCCGCATTCCTTGAGCAAGCCTTTTATTACCTGTGTTGGCGAATCCCCCTTCCTCTTTGCTTCTTCACTTATCGCCTTTTTTTGTTCCTTCCACCTTGCCTTTTCCTGCTTTTTTAACTCTTCTTCCCGCTTCTTTCTCTCTTTTTCATGCTGCTTCCATTTCTCTTTTCCTAATTTTGCCTTGAGCTCCTTTCTTTGCCTTATCTCTTTTGCCTTCCTGGCCCTTCCCTGCACACACTGCGTTAGGAGCCCCTTGTCTGGGTCGAGCTTTGGTGGGTGCCCCGGAGGTGGACAGTAGGTGAGTCCTGCTCTTTTTTGACCATAGCAATCCCAGTATTCAATGTTCATAGCCTTGCATTCTTCGTTGAGTTTACAGACATACCCACCACCATCATTGTCTAGGTTTGGGGCGGCTATGAGAACTTGCTTGCTGTGCTTGTCACAGTCATTCATGGGAAGAAAGACATCCGGAACTCGACCAACATCTATATCATTTATTAGAATTTTCCGTGCGATAAACATACAAGTTTGCAACTTACATGCAGTGTTCGCAACCTTGTACCAGACGCAGACTGTGTCATTTGGGCCGCCATTGCAAGTATACGAAGACCCGATATTGTAGGATTCCGTCACAGTGAAGCCCAATGCGACAAAATCAATGTTGGCTGTCGCAGTCCAACCGAAGGCTTCGGTTTTTCCTGTATTACTGCCAACAGAACATCCCTCGTCGTTGTGACAATGTACATTATCCTGGGGTTAGTTAGCATTATGAGCAAGAACAAAGAATAAGGCGTTAGCCGAATATAGAGGTGGAATCTTACCGAGACCTGCCGGTAGCGGTACCTCAAGTGAGGCCATCCTTGAAACCCATGTTAGGCACGTCGCGTCCCATTAATTTAATCACAATACTAACCACTGCCGTCGATGTTTGGTGCGCCCATGCGCCTAAAAAGGAAATAACCGATATGCTTATGGACAAGAAGCGTTTTCATAATCGGGTTCCAATCCGGATCCAGATCACCATCGAGCGAGCTCTCCTCTTGCGTAATATTGGCAAAACAAGGGCCCTCCATGGTCGGTAACGTACTATTGGTAATATTCCACCATAACTTTCCGCAATGGATGGAAATATACGGGGGGCTCATCTCTGTATGGCATATAGGTCCTCCTGCAAACACAGGATCCTGGTGAACCCTGTAGGTATTATTTCCAACTGTAAAGTTGCCTTCGCCACTAGAGTTGATCATGGAGAAGTCGATGGTATCCTTGGCTGGAAACTTTCTACCACATCTCTCTCCGATCAAGCCCCCCCCAATGGCGCGATATACGACCAGAGAAGACTTGCTGTCTTCGACGTTTAGAGTGAAAGTAAGTCTGATCAAAGCCGCAGAAGTAAAAGACAGAAGCAGAGAAATTGCATAGACGAACCGCATCTTCGACTTTGAATGAAGACGGGAATTAGCTGCTGTAAACGAGGTAAGTTTAAGAGGAAGTCTTTATCGTATAAGAACTGGAGGGTTCTTACTGATTGTGCCAGGCCCTGATTGTGTTGCTTCGAAAGAATAGACGTGTACCCTTGATCGGTTTCGCTGAGAGGCCAAACAATGTTGGAAAACGTACCAAGAAATCTCGTGCTCTTGAAAGGAGGGGTAGGTCATGTTATACAAGTTTCTTATCAGCATTCGTAGGAGAAACTTTGAGGGCGCTCCGTATCACCCCTCGATTCATTTCGGGGCTGCAACCCTCACACTCGTGAGTTGCACGACACGAAGCCTCATTTCCGGGACGACACACGCTGTCAACAACACCAAAAGAAAAGCCGAGGTCAGCCAGGATCCGACAAATCACCGTCCCTGTCATCAATTCTCAGATCATCTGATCCAATCAAACTCCCGTGTGACTCTCAATCGGGGTGCATCTCTCTTTTCTTTTCGCGCCCTTTGTTGTACTCACCTCGTGTTGGTGGTCAATCTTGGCCTTGTTGCCCCTTTTCAAGAAGACCTCGTGTTCAGGATGATGCTGCAGCAAGGACCTCAACTTTTCGTTGTCGTTGTTGACGAGCATGAGTCTGTCTGCCTCTGTCTGGTCATTCATACTATAGAAAGCATTCCCAACGACAAAGAGATTGGCAAGCTTGAGCTCAGCTGCGGACTGATGTCGATCAAGAATTCCAGACCATTTTGTCTCCTCGATCTTGGGAGTTGAGATGTCAATATGGTTAAATGTGAATGGTATCGATTTGCATTGCATACGATAAGTTGTTCTCGCTGCGGGGTTGCGTTGACTTGCGACAAATATGTCATCAAGGTTGAACTCTCTCGTGATTCCATTGTAAGCCACAGACAACGACAGAAGATTCTGGTTGTTTACTTTGTGCTTTGGGTTCAAGCCACAGCTCAAGCCGACGCTTTCCATCCGCAGCGGCCGGATCATGTCTCCGCAAATTGACTTTTGCAAAGCCGAAAGGTCAACGCCTCCGTTTTCTGTTTGTGGCGGATACTCATGGTAAACAAAGCCGAACACGAACATCAAATCACCAACGTTTGACTGATCCAGTGCCTCGATGTAGTCGTCATCATTGTTGGCGCCGAGGAGTTTGCCTGGTTGGGATGCATGATACATACTATAGCCACCGAGCTTCCAACATGGCTCGTCTTGAATGCCCTCGTGTTCAGATTTTATCGTTCTGAAGCTTCCGCCCAGTTTCTCGGTAGCGACATGGGTCCGAACAGGCGCCGAAGTGAGCTTGTACATCACGAGGTTTGCTGAATCATCACTCGTTTGATGATATCGGAGGCGGGGCATGCACAATGCGGTTGGTATATTTTACAGCCAACAGAGTCTAATTAAGATTTGCATAGAAGCGGAGAATGAGCCGATGAGAATGGGATGTGCTTTGTGGCGTGGATTGACCTTTTTGGCTTTCGAGAAGTGGAACGCCTCGCGTATTTGCTCTGCGAGAGTCTGGCAAACACGAGGTTTCATATCAAAAGCCTTCGGCCGAGTACCGCTCGGCAGTATTTGCTCCGAAAGTTTCTCGATGGGCTTGAAAGACACTTAGATTAAGACAGTATGTAGTGGGAACTCGGCATCATGACATTCCCCCATTCCGGTAGCTCGTTGTTCTTTGCTTGTGGCGACAAGAACGTCCCCCAAAACGCCGGTAATAATTGTTCAGACCACACTCCATGGTGCTAAGTACGCTGAATGATGCAAGGGTACGTGCAGACGCAATGAAAGTTGTCGAGTCAGGGCCCATGAAGTCGACGATCGATTCCAAAACGCTGTTGTAACGAGCTGAGTTCTCAATGTAAACTTCCTCAAGCTTGAAAACATGCGTCCACCACTTGTCTTCAGCATGACTGATGCGATATCCGACGATGAGTGTCTTGAACTCCTCATAGAGATTGGAGTCTCTCAGATAGTGGAGGACAAGACGGCGAAGGATCAATGCGAGGAGTGCAGTCTCATGGCAGTGCATCCAAGGAGCTCCAGTCATCTTTGAAAACACCATCGATGGTCCAATCACCCGAGACGAGAAGATTGATAGCGTATTCGAGGTCACGCCTTTTCAACGCTCCCCAGGCGTCAATATCACGGAAACGGGGCTGCTTGGTCAGTTTGCGCGAGGTGCTCATTGAGGGCGACGGACTGGTTTTGGGCAGGTAGCTTGATAGTTTGCTTTTGGGTAGACGACGCGGTTGAAACAGATTGTTATGATGCTGATTTCTGTGTGACCTTACAATGTATGAGCTCTCGCAAGTCGCGTTAGAGATAAGGCCGACAATTGGCAAAGACCATTCTAGGGAGACTTAAGTAGTTTCATTGCATAGAGGTCTTTCGTGAATCACATCAACCGTTTATTCAAATGCATTTGACAGTGGCAGGCCGTTGAAAGGGAACAGCATGCTGCGAATTATAATACTGGTCCGGGGCTGGTTTTTCTTTGTTAATAAGCATCGGTGCTTCACCTCACAACATTTCTAAATCCTGATCATGAAGTCTGCAGTCTCAATCACTTGCAAGTAGTCTTTATTCTCAACTGTAAGCTTCCTGCTTGGACAAACTCTGTTGAGAAGATGGACAGTTTTTGGCACTTCTTTGCTTCGAGCGTGCGTTGTGTAACTGTTCGTGATGAGAACAAAGGTGAAGGACGTCGTTTATTACAGCCAGTTCCTTCATTGATTCACTCTCGATGTGCAGGGTACTTATTCCGTAACAAATCGCAGTGAAAATTACGCCATGATCTGATACGAGACAAGTATGCTCGCTTAGGATCTGACCAATAGGACAGTTTGCTCCGATTAGTGCTGTCAAATTTCCTTTTCAGCGCCCGATTGGCACAAAGCTAAGTAAAATCCGACCTGGTTGCTAAAAAGGTCTAGACCATTCAATAGTCTTCAGCGCCAAAGCACCTAAGATCGATAGTTTCTTCAGAACCCCTGACTAAATATGGCACAACGGCTGGCTGGTCAGCGCTAAAAAGAGCTGGTAAAATGAAGTACGATATGCAGATTGCCATATTTATCTCCCGAGCCCCAAGTTTGCGATTTTGGTGGTTTCTGCTTTGACGAGACATTCCGTATTCATAGACTATCGCAGCCATGATCGCCAAGAGCCTTGTCTTCGCTGTGCTAGCGGTTCATGCTGCTGCTGGGCCATGTAAGCCTGGTGGACTTTCGTCCAATACGCTCTCCGCCAGTGAATCTGCAAGCGAGCCTACAAGTTCTGAAACAAGCGTCTTGGATTCAGTGACCACAACCACCTCTGAACAAGCCACGACGACGACAGAGGCAGGTACCACCACTACGAGCGCAGCCGTACCCGCTGGCGAGGCCATTATCTTCCAGGTGAACCCTCGACGTCGGCTATCGAAGCGCGATACAACATTCGTGGGCAGCAACAATCCAACCGAATGCACCTTTGCTTCAGTCTTTCGCCTCGATGAGGGAAAGCTTCTGGAAAATGGAGTGCCTATTTACTATGCTGGCAGTGGTTTTCAGGAACTTGCTGCTCAGGGCGAACCGCCAGCTGATTCTGTCACGACAACATTCTCAATTGCCGGGGGTCGCCTTTCGTGGACAGATGCGTCGTTTGGCGAGGCTGGTTTCTGTCAAACCGAGTCTGATGGGCAGGTGTACATCACCTTTGGGTCAGAGCCTGTTGGCTGTGAACCTGTGACTCTCACAGCCTACAAAGGTATGCAGGACCCGTAGCTTCTGCGCTGCATCTTACTAACATGGCGGTGCAGAGGAACAATGCCAGAATGGACAGATCGTCGGTATCAAAACGTCCAGTGCCGAGGCAACCACCGCAGCAGAGACTACCGCCTCCTCTGATGCTGTTCAACCCACCACTTCTTCCGATGCCTGTGCTGTCGGTATTGATGGCTTGAACGGCGAGCCTCCACGAGAGAGCCGCCTGGCTGACTGTTCGAGACTGAACACAGTCACAGTCAGCCCATACCCCGAGTAAGAGTTCCGTCCTTTCTTCTTTGGATCGCATACTGACATTTGCAGAACTTCAACCGTGTTCAAGCGCGAAGTCGCGTTCCGCATTCCAACAGGATTCCCAACATGGCGACCTGCAATGAACACTCTTGCTGCCCGCGCAGAGGGAGAACCAACAGCCACTACCATCCAACCAACTGAGGTTCCTGTTTATGCTACATACTGCGACTCTCCCGAGGAGTACTACGCAGCTTGCTCTGAGGCTGGAATCACTGCCTTCACAACTACCCTTCCTACGACGACTACTTCAACTTCGACCACTGTTAGCGATTGTCCCGCGAAGCGACTCGTGAGGAGAGCTGGTGAGCATATGGGATATGAGTTTGAGGATAACTGGGATGCCCATATCATGCCAGGATACAAGCTGTTTTAGACTGTCCCTTTCGGATATTTTAGATATCAATGCACCGCACATATTTCTTGTTCAAGTACTCCCTGGGTGACTATGAAGAAGCGGAATAGCGTCATCCGTCAGCAATTCGTCATTGCTGAGTACAGCTTGTGGTTGCTTGACTGGACCCCTAGCTTTCATGAGACTCATAAGGCTGAGCCCATTATGGCGGTGGCGAAGCAACTAGCTCAGGCGCATTTTCAAGGATGCCAGGGGATGATGACAGTGAAGCCCCGGTGTCACTCGCTGGCAGAGATCATTAGCGCCCCCACCAAGCTTTCAGCTCGGTGACCCGAACACCAGATGGGTAACATTTTTCATGCGTCAGTCCTAGCCAGAGACATCGACTCTTCACCCAACTGAAGAAGCGGAATATTTATTCTGACTCATTTCCCGTCTTTTGTAGCGGTGAGGCGTGGTCTATATTCCTCGACCCCTCTGGTAATGTTTGTACGAGTGATACATCAAGCTGCAAGACGATTCATAATTGCCAACCGCGCGAGACCTCGATTCGCAATTCTCATCCCACCAAACACTGTCTGTTCATTAGCACGTCGAGATTTCATCACCATGAATCGAGAACAATTGTCCACCCTGGACGAAAGGGCCTTTGCAGAAAAGGTGCCGACAATGCTCTGGTCGGATCGAGAGACGCTTTTCGAGGATGGAAGTGAAGACATCGACATTATCAGATCCCGCGCAGCAGAGCCTGCGACCGTCGAAGCCATTTCGTCCGTCCTCACTTCTCTAATCAGAGATGAAGATTACGATACGCTGAGAGTGCATCAGAAAGCATTGTACTCTGTTCTTCTCAAGCTCCCCTTCGAAAAGCTCCAGCCTTATCGACCAGCTTTGGCTGCACTCGCTGCATTCGACATCTCAGGCTTTACCCATCGCTCATCGCATTATGCCCAGACTTGTCATGTCATTCACAACGCCGGCCATCTTGAGCGCTTCGCCGCAGATGCCAAGGCGGTCTGGGTCACCAAGGACAAATTCGACATGGTCAGCGATCGCACGCTTACAGAGCGTGTCCATACGGCTGAAGAGATGAGGCCATATATGCCTGAGCTGTTTGGCTGGCTTGTTGACGCCAACAATCCGCCATTCATGCCTTGTCGAAACCAACTTGCTCGATTTCCTGAGACTGCTGCTGTTATTGCAGCCGAAGTTCTGGCCAAGGCAAACAAAGAGAAGGATGAACAGTACCAGCACTTCTTGATCGACTTTGTGTCTGATTGTGTGCCTGTTGGGGAGGCCTGGAAACCAATGCGAGAACACGTTGAAGCGCTGGTGAAGGATTTGAAGGGGAGCAAGAGTGAAGATGATGAGGAGCTGGTTGACGAGGCCAACGAATGGCTGACGAAATTGGAACAATGGGAAGCTTTGAAGAAGGAAAAGAACTAGTTCTCATGTTGAGTTTTACAAGCAATTGTACATTTTATTGATATATCGAATATCTACTCAAAGACGCCGTAAAGGAAAGCCTTCTGGCTCTCAATGAGATTACTTATGCCTTCTTGAAAGATATTCAAGACACCAATGTTCAAGCGCTGGGAATATAACGCAAAGAATGCCTCTGTCTTTTGTATTAATGTCTTTCTTCAATGTGTGTCTTCGATCCAGTATCCGAAATACCATTTGAACCTCGAGCTCGGATAGATGACTACCCTGGATCCGAAGAGAATTTCGGAAATGTCAAACTGCATGATCAACCAGCATCCGAAAATGGAGACCCGCACTTGCATACGACTCTTTGATTGACCATACCCCAGATGATTCTCCTTCCGATATCCTTGCTCCCTTCCCCCGGACGTAGATCGGCCCTGGCGACTTGACGACTTCTCCACACGTGAAAACGGATAAGCTTATCAACGAGTGGCTAACAATGATCATTGATGCTATTCGCTGTTCACGACTGCTCCCCATCTTTACCCCGCAAGCTAGAATCAAGCTGGGCTAAGGTCATCACGGAAATCCACCGTCAATTCGAGATGATAATTCCGGCACTGGCCTCGACCTATCAAGAACGACAAAGTGTTACATAATGTGGCTGCTGTACATATGGCCTGACCAGTCACTCAAGAGCAATTCGTAACTGTTCCGATCTCATGTGTCATAGAGCATAAGCACCCGTCTTCCGATTCGGATCTTACCATCTTGTCGGTTCGCCCTTGCATCTCTTGATCTTGTAAACATCGTCAATGAGTATAAGATCTTGCGAGTGCATCTTGGCAGATTGACGATATCACTACCTCGCTATCAGACACTTCACCCCATCCGAGCCAATACGAGATACATGCGAAGATGGCTATCGGCGCAAAGACAGACCATGTCGACGTTCTCATCGTTGGAGCCGGACCCGCCGGTCTCATGATGGCAACATGGCTCGCCAAATGTGGCATCAAAACACGCATCGTCGACAAGAGAGGAACAAAGGTGAGTTCCTACATCTCTTCCTGTGCGTTTTACTGACACCTTCTCAGATCTTCAATGGTCAAGCAGACGGTCTTCAATGCCGAACACTCGAGATCTTCGACTCATTTGGCTTTGCGCACCGAGCTTGGATTGAGTCTAACCACATGCTCGAAATTTCCCTGTGGAACCCTGATGAAAAGGGTATTCTCCGCCGAAGCTCAAGGATTCCCGACACAGTTCCTGGCATCAGTCGCTTCCAACAGGTTGTTCTTCACCAAGGTCGCATTGAGAGATTCTTCCTCGACGCTATCAACGACTTCAGCCAGGGAAAGATCTCGGTCGAGCGAGGAGTCATGCCAACGAGCCTTGAGATTGATCCCAAAGTTGTTGAAGACCCAGATGCATATCCGATCACCGTCAACCTTCGACATCTGAGCGAAGAGGAAGCTCAGCCAAAGCAGACATCAACATCCGCCAACGGTACTACTGTTCAGGACGGTCTGTTCCGCAGCAACCTTTCTCCAGACGACACAGCCGACATGCTTAAAGCAGCTGAACTCAACGACAAAGCCGACACTGTTGAAGTAGTAAAGGCAAAGTATATGCTCGGCGCAGACGGTGCTCACTCGTGGGTCCGAAAGGAGCTCGGCTTCAAGCTTGAGGGTGAATCAACAGATTACATCTGGGGCGTTCTTGACATCGTGCCCATCACTGATTTCCCGGATATCCGACAGCGCTGTGCGGTTCACTCAGCGAGCTCAGGAAGCGTCATGGTGATTCCGAGAGAGAATAAGCTGGTCAGACTGTATATCCAGCTTACGACAACGGCAAAGATTGGGGAGCAGGACTCACGAGCTGATCGATCATGGATCACCCCTAATGTCATTCTTGAGTCGGCTCAGAAGATTCTCGCTCCTTACAAATTGACGTATCGCAAGTTGGATTGGTGGACGGCTTATCAGATTGGACAGCGTGTCGGATCTAACTTCTCGGCTTACGATCGGGTCTTCCTCGCTGGTGATGCTGTTCACACTCACAGGTTTGTTCCCCCATCTCAAAGGTGACTCAAATGTCTGACAATCTTCAATAGCCCCAAGGCTGGTCAGGGTATGAATGTCAGCATGCAAGATTGTAAGTCTCTCCATAACAGCATCGCTTTCAACCGAGCTAACATTCTCAGCTTTCAACCTCGGCTGGAAAGTCGCCAACGTTGTCAAGGGCCTTGCGAGCCGATCGATCCTCAAGACTTATGAGACTGAGAGAAAGGGAATTGCCCAGGCTCTTATCGATTTCGACCACAAATTCTCTCGCCTCTTTTCCGGGCGCCCGGCCAAGGATATCATGGACGAGGAGGGAATCAGCATGGATGAGTTCCGCGAAGCTTTTGAGAAGGGCAACTTGTTCGCCAGTGGAATTGGTAAGTCCGTTTAATGCACCGGTCTTCTATAGCTAACAGACTTCAGCTGTGGACTATGGTCAAAGCAACATTGTCGCCAAGGCTGCTGCCGATGACACTGGTCTGAAGGACGTCGCTGTAAAGAGGCAGGGTTTGGCACCAGAGATCAAACTCGGAATGCGTATGCCCAGCGTCAAGGTTCTCAACCAAGCTGACGCTAGACCTTGGCATCTGCAAGAACTTCTCCGAAGTAATGGAGCATGGAGACTCCTTGTCTTCCCCGGAGATATCGACCTCGACAACCAGAACAAGCGAATGAAGACACTGTGCGACAAGCTCTCAGCTGAATCTTCATTCATCAAGCGCTTCACACCACCATCCGCTCGATACGACTCCGTGATTGAAGTTATTACGGTACATGCCTCGAAACGCCAAGACCACGAGATCTTCGACTTTCCAGAGGTTCTCCGTCCGTATCACGAGGTTGACGGCTGGGATTACAACAAGATATTTGTTGATGATGAGTCTTATCATGAGGGACATGGTAGACTGTACGAGACGTTTGGAATCAAACCTGATGAGGGCTGTGTGGTTATCTTGCGGCCTGATCAGTATGTGTCGTATGTGGGAGAGCTTGATAATTATGATGAGCTTGATGGGTTCTTTTCTGAGTTTATGATAAGACAGAAGGCTGTATGAAGTATGTTTTATTAATAGGAGATGGTACTACCAATGAAGAAATACTGCAATGTCCTGTTAAAAGGCCTATACCTAAATATCTTAAGCATAACAACCTCGGCATCCCAAAAGCCAATCTTACCAAGCCAAGAACCCACCTAGTCAAGACACAAGGAAAATAACTCCATCAATACCAATTCCATGATTGAGAGACTTGCTTCCGCAGTCGTTGAATAACTTGAAGTACTTGCGGACTTTGACTTCATTAGTGGTGGCTCCCTTTGGGGGTATATATAAGGCCTTACGCAGCTGGTAAGCGTCAAAGTGTCTGTGAGGATGGAGCTGATTTTGCCATCTCCTTCCCGTGTAGGTAGAACTTGATTACATGTCAGCGACTGGCGATTCGGGATGAATCTTAATATTATTGATAATTATATTTAAGAAGATTTACTATTATGGCATTATGATCAGCTCCTGTGAGTTATTATTCCCATCACTGGTTGCAGCCTGTAGCTCATAGGTGCGGTGATCTGCTCCTTTGCTCTGCAGATAGAATGGACCCTCTGATCGGCTTGGATTTGTCACTGAAGGATGTGTGCCCTTGTGCTGCCCAAGCTCTCTCAAAAGTCCATAAAAGAAAGGCGTGTTTGCCACGATGAAGCTGCACAGAATCTCTATAGTCGCCCACTGATTGAAGTCAGACACCATATTCATACAAGTGGGCTCCGGCAGTGAACACCTACAGTAGATCGAGCCTTCTGAGACATGGCATCGTTGAGAATGAGCGGTATTCGAACAATTGTAATGGTAATGACCAAAAGGCCGATACTGAACAAGACTCCAAGTTGGATCTTACTGGCAATTGTCAGCTTAATGTACATCGAAAACTGCGAGGTTGCTTTACGTTCTCGTATTTAATCTCGCCACTGCAAGGGTCGGGAAAGGCAGTATCAGTAGTGCAATATCTGTGCTGATATTGCCTACTGCCAGAGCGAAGAAGTAAACCATGCCTTTCTGGCAGACGGGCTCTGTCATACATCAGTCTCATTAATGCAAATCAGGGTTAATATCGTAGAGCAACAAGAAAATGGAGACGTACGCGTTTCCTTAGAAGTGAGCCTCCACATCCTGTAATGGTTAACAATGAACGGCCAGAGAGCCATAGAAAACATACAACGAAATCGGGCGACATTCGGCTAGTATCGATACAATAACAACAAGACAAGAAACAAACAAGAGGCACCATAGCACCTTGACTGTTGTCTTGCCCCAGTTTGTCACCCGAACAAAGCGTGAGTAGAATGAGAGCAGGGCTGCTTTCAAAATCCAAAGACTATAAGCCTCAGCATGCAACCAGAAGTCCACAAAAGCGATCTTACATCAGAGTGTAGCTCAATCGGGTGCCAACCAGTAATTGAAGCCCAACAATCCGATCATGTTCGAGTTTCTCAACACTTACGTGCTGGGCTGCCGCCTCATCTTTCGTTGCAGGTTCGCGTGAGCTGGAGGGGTTCAAGAGGAATGAGAGAGTGATACAGACGGTGCGCGAAATAAGAGGCAATAGGGCAACCGCCATGTAAATATCGTCGGCATGCCAGATTCTATGTGAACCTGCATGGCCCTTGTACCAGTGATAAACACGATAGCCGCATCGCGATAGTATCAGAGCGGAACATATGCATGCAATAGCAATGTCCTTCTCGATAGTCGAGGACAACGCCATATTTGTTCGTCGATCAGAAACCCTCTGACAGAGGGGGAGGGAGACCGGGAGCATTCTGCTCTTAAGACGAAATGGAAGCAGGGACAGGGGATATAGCTTCACATGTAGGTGATCAATAGTCTTGTCACTAATTCAGGGGAAGCCCCGGAGTTGGTGTGGAGGTCAGGTCCTGGCCATTCAGCTTTAAATGACATCAGGGTGAAGATTAAATGTCAGACCACATAAGATTCACGCTACGCCTATATCGAGTTACCCCAGATTATACCCCAGCTTTCACCAGACAGGATGAAGCTAGTGAGCCGAGGTCTATTGTGTCGAGACTCAATCCAAAGCGGAGCTATTGGCTGAAAGGGATCTAGAAGCAAGCCACCACCTTGAACTATATCTTTAGGATGTTACAGAATAAGGTATGGCATTTGCTAATTGACCACGTGGAACTATGTGAAGTGACAGCAAATAAGCAATATCCATTCATGGAATCCTTGCAAAATATGAACGCCATGAGGACGCTATGCCTTATGGATTGTACAACACTGCAGTTTTGTGGTGTTAAGCTTGAGAGCTAGCTGTCGCCTCTGATCCCTAGATGCATGCATGGCATGACCAATCGATCCTTCTAGGTACTGCGACACATCGCCAGTGGCAATCTTCTAGCAGGGATCCTGTTTACGTCCTTCCTATTCCGGTTGTTTCAATGGCATTGCGAGTTCTGAGGTGATTGTGATGGTATTCCTTATATTGATTAAACGATGTATTGGGACCAGCCCTGCTCTCAGTAATATAATGTCCTAGACTTGTATCTTCTTCATCCGTTCTGCAGCTCGATTCCATTTAAATCTACGGCTCGTTACTTGTTCGGCTTCTCGCCCAAGTCAACATTTTGTTTGCCAATGATCCCCTGTCCTCGAGGTACCAAGCCTTGAGCTGGAGCGCGACTAAACAACATGGCAGGGATAGAAGTATGAGACTCTCTTGCTTCTTGAGTGGTCTTGAGTGCGACAGCTACCAATTGTTAGACGATCATCGTGATATCCCGTGAAGAAGACTCACCAGCTACTGTTGCTGCGACTAATACAACTGGAAGGGCTTTGTGGATGCGCGCCATGCGAGATACAGCTGGGGCCGGTTGAGAAGGAAAGTCAAAGCGAGGAAGAGCTCCGCCGAATGAGTTGGTCGTCATGATGAAGGTTCGATATAAAATTGAAGTGTAAATGTATGCGATAGTTGTAGGACCGTGATCTGAGTTGAGATGAGATGCTTGTCTATGCTGATGAGTGTTGAGTGATGATGATGGTCTGGACAAGCTGAATTGGACATTGTCTTATATCAATTCCCTCCATCCCTATTCTCAATTGTCTCAATATCTTGCTATATCGCCGGTGAGTTCCGCATAGCAGATTCATCAGGTCAGCCCACCGACCCCAGTCTCAGGGCTGGTCAGATTCGTACCACGCTGGGGCGTAAGTGGCGTGGATTGTGGAGTAAATGGGCTGCTTTCTTCATGCCTTGGGTGTCGAGCATCTGCTGATTCAATTTTGCTTCTACAGCGCTGCCAATAATTGCAAAGTGTACAGAGATCCAATTGAGATCGTGCCAGATTTCTGCTTGCTCGTGCCGTGCTGAGGCTTTGTTTGTATCTGCCGCATCTCGGGACGTTTCAACGCGTCAAAGCGCCCGAGATCTTGTATCAAGGAGTTTCGTTGACGTTCCCATTATCCTGCTACAAAGGCTGTTTGACCTGGCTTGGTATTACTCTCTGGTGATGTAAATTTTGTAACCTCTTAGACAATGAAGATATCTGAAGAAATTGAGGTTGCTGAGTGCCGCGAGAATATCCCGGAGTCATCAGATGATTCGGCTCCGATGTTTCGCGATGGTCATCTTTAGTCAGCATTAGACCAAAGCACGACATCAGCACTAACAGCTCACCGCTGGACTTTCGCACAGGTATGTTAGTTCAGTGGTATAGCGACATACTCCATCCCCCACTGGGGAAATCTCGCTGTTGGCATCCCCAGAAATAGCTCTCCGCAAGTGATGCGGCACTTTAATGAGATTACAACTGGCATCAACCCTTGTAGGTCATCCATCATCTTTCGAGTCTTGGACATTTGATCACAGCCAATTGAAGTGGTACGATTACCAAACTTTTATCAACAATGCACGCGGGATGACGGGCAGCCGGACGCAAGAACTCACCGAGTTTCTCGAGTCGCCTCGTGCCATGTCTTGCAGGTACTACTTGCGGATCATAACACCAATTTCGTTATTTAATATCTCAAACAATTCCGAGGCGCTTGATGTGACGCTGGCTTGCACGGAATGTTTCACTCACCGACTCACCGAGGAGATCAGGGACCAAATCTGTGGAGTCAATGGCACAGAACATTCGATTCTTGTTCCAAACTGAACGATGACCTGCATAATACTCCATTCCAAGCCTACAAGGCAGTTTAGTCCATATCCCATCCAGAGTGAATTTTGTCTATCTGACAATCACCACTTGCAAGAAGGCCCTACATGTGGTGTCAAGCTGGTCTCATGCTGACATAAATCTCTCAGGTCTTGCATTCTCAATATGTTGGTATTATACTGGCATCCTATTGAGCCTCGCAAAACTTTTGCCTTGAATAGCCAACATTACTTACTGCTTCTTTCGAGAGGCATAAACAGCTCGACTATCAATGCTGGTAGACTTTCTTGACCCTTCCTTCGGCAGCATCCTGGATGAACTCCTCCAGGCTGCGACCTTGAAGCGAGGGATACAAGTCCTTGGCAAGAACATACCCAAGGTATACGGCATTTTCTGGCGTGTTGTCGCCTCGTACGCCCCAAGACATCCAGTACTCGTAGATACCACGCATCTGGCTATGTTCCTTGTAGCCTTTGAATGGGGCCAGCTGTTCGTCGAGCTGCTCCTTGGACATCTGCAATAGCTCAATACTTTATCCACAAGGCTTCGAGTTGATAGACTTACACTGGTAGACTCTGGCTTCTCGCCAATCACTTTCTCGACCAATTTGTGGATCTCATTCTGCGTTTTGAGCTCTGAATATGCCAACACTCTCTTGTCGATGGTCCTTGGATCGCTAACGATGGCTGCGACATACTTTCCAATGTCGCGAACATCCGTGAGTGCAGAAGGGTTGTTACCACCCGCAATGATGTTGTTGTTAGGGAATACGAGGCTGCCATCGAGCTTGCCGGATGGGACTCGGGGCAGGGTGAGCTGGTACCACCAGCCTATATCAATTACAGTGTAAGGAAGATAGATCCGCTGAATATGGTCAAGAATTTCCTCCTTCTAGAGTGATCGTTAGCTCTGCCGACTCATGACAAGGCCCCAACGTACTCGATCGCGAATACCCATTACACCACGAGGGGCAATGGTAGCGAAGAAGCATGGGACATATCGCTTCACGCCAGCTCGCTTGGCTGCATTGGATAGTGGAATCTCATCATTAAGTGACTGAAAATGAATGGCCGAGATGACTGTGTCAATTCCCTCGAGAGCAGCAACCAGCTCATCATGGTTTCCTCCCAGATCGATTGGCACAATTTTGATGCCTCTTTCCTTTAGGGTGATAGTCGCTGGCTTTTCAACTGAGCTTGGTCGCACCAAAGCTGTAATTTCCTGTCACAGGTTAGCGAAGTCAAACAAGTTGGAAAGGCGGAGGTGCGGACAAATTGGCTTTCGGATCCAAGGAGGCCATCAACAATTGACCCTCCCGTTTCCCCAGTAGCACCAACAATTGCAATCTTTGTTGTCATTTTGTTTGCAGTTTATGATATGTAGTTGCTTGATGGAAGTGATCTGCAAGCTGGAGGTATTTGACACTTATTAAGTTGAAGCTATTTAAACTCCGCAAACAGGCCCACCTCAGGAAATGGTTGTGTCGGAGTTAAGGCAGAGGAACCCCGACTCCGTCCTCTCACGTCGAATTAATTACACTATATGCGCAAGGAAGGCAGTTTGAATTGCCCCAATGGTACAAATCAAGCTTCATGCTTGGATGTTACCATTTGCAGCAAAAGAACACATGTTTCGAAAAAAGAGTTAAGTCCGCCAAAATCCGGAGTAGGACTTGGACTTATGAATCAGCAAAGACTCTCAGTGTTCTGCGTGCAAGCATTGACCATATTTGCTAGAATGAACAGAAGAAGTGTTGAGTGTTTTGGTCAATTGCAACTAAAAATATATCATGATGTTACGCCCCAAGATGTATAATGAATTATAAGCCATAGGGTAGGATTTGGTTCCTCTGAGATTGGGCCCGCAAACAGGCCACGTGATTGTCAATCATGAGGACAAACACCAAGATCAGGGCAAATAGGCCAGTTAGGCAGGATAGGCAGCGGCTTGGGTGAATTACCGCAATCCGCATATTAAATCCAATCCGGATTCCATATACCTACTCAACTTATCTGTCCATGACCTTTAACTTTGACCCTATTGACCGTACCTCCGCGTGACTGACCGACCCGCTCTAGCTCACAGTTCCGTTTCTTGAACTGCGAAGGGAATAGTTCCACCGTTTTGCGGGTACGTACAGTCAGAAACGGTGAGCAGCCAAACAGCGGGGAGCCAAGAGTGCGGAATTGACAAACTGATAACACTGACAACAATGACCCACCCCCGCATTCACCTCGATCTTCTCCGCCTTATTCCCAAGCTTATCAAACTTTGAGCCACCAAACTCGGGACTGGCTGAAATTGCCATAAAGTTATTGACACATCATTCATTATATGCACAGCTTGCATACCCATGTCCACAAAGGGCAAAGATCACCCTTGAATTGAACAACAAAGAATCCATGACACTCAATCATCTCACACGGATTCCCAAACCGAAGCGAGGGTTGCACATCTCTCGGGTTCTAGACTCGACGCGGCTGAAGCTTCTCGGGTTCTGAAGCCGAGGGGGTCTCAGTACCGAGAGGAATATGCGGGGTGACACTGACACCCACCAATTGGCTTTGCGCATTCTCTTTATCTGTCCCGAAGCGGTCCAGAAGCCGATCAGGTGCCTGAGTCTAAACCCAATGGAGCCGAGAAGCGATATCGTTTGCTGCTGCGTTACTGGTGATGTCTGTTTGACGGAAGATACGGCTTCGGTCTGCGATACCGCTACTCGGCGAGCTGGCCAATCATTGAGCGACAATTAACACCACTATCTTTCCATATCTCTGACTGAAGGGGTCGGGTGATCAACGTCACAAGACCTGCTCAAGCGTGCACTATCAGAACTCCCGAAGACCAGCCTCACTATGACCAAAGTGCGCATCCGATACGCTGTCATCGTGAGGGGTTCGACCCGGGACATCGGGGTCGTTATCTTCTAGCCCGGGTTCCATCAGGCACACGATTGTCTATAAGAAAGTGCTATGCCTGTCTTGTCAAGCTACTCTCCCAAGGAAGATAAACACCACCAATCTCACCAAACCTTATCTCCACAAAGCCCACCACACAATGTCAACAATGAATAAGCTCAAGGTGAACGTCGAGAGTGACAACTTCACCGAAACAAGCCACAGAAGTCCCGTCCGTGCTCTCCCTTCAACATGGTACAATTCTCCCGAGATGTATGAGCTTGAGAAGCGTGCCATCTTCTCCAAGAAGTGGCTACTCACTACCCATCAGAACCGGCTTCCCAAGGCTGGCGATTGGATGAAGTTCAACACTACCGGCTACGAGTTCGTCGTTGCCCGCGATCGAAAGGGAAACCTCAATGCCTTCCATAACATCTGCCGTCATCGCGCTTTTCCTGTCGTTCAAGGTGGACAGCAAGGCAACTCATCTATCTTTGCATGCAAGTACCATGGTTGGTCTTATGGATTGAGTGGCAACCTCGCCAAGGCACCCAACTACGACCAGCTCGAGAACTTCGACAAGAGCAAGAACGGCCTTTTCAAGATCCATCTCAAGGTCGATGCGTATGGCTTTGTCTGGGTCAACCTCGACAGCTCTGAGAACCCGGAACCTTGGACTCGCTACTTCGAGGGTATTGATCAGCAAGAACGTCTTGAGAAGGTCAACTGGGATGACTACACTCTCGACAAGGAATACAGCATGGAGGGCGAGTACAACTGGAAGATTCTGGCCGACAACTTTAACGAATGCTATCACTGCCCCACGACCCATCCCGATCTTCCTACCCTTGCAGACCTTGGAAAGACAAAGTGCGACACGGGCCTGGGATGGATTAAACACTCGAGCATTCAGACCGAGGAGCAGAAGAAGAGCGGAATGCAACTCGCAAGCACATACTTCTACCCCAGTGCCTCAGTGGTCGTCCTGTAAGTACCTACTATCTTCCGAGCTTGGGTTCCTCTAACACTATACAGGCCTCACTTTATGATGATCCAGCGTTTCATGCCACTTGGCCCAACCACCTCATCAATGCACTATCAAATTTTCCGCAACAAGAACTCCTCCGAAGAGGACTTCCATAACATCGCCGATCTCTACGCACGCGTTGTCTCGGAAGATAAAGACTTGTGTATTGGAGCTCAGAAGAATCTCAACGCAGGAATCTTTGTTAGTGGAGAGCTGCATCCACGACTGGAACATGGTCCACTCTCATTCCAGGAATCTCATCGACAGGCGATTCATGAGCATGCCAAGCTTGAGAGGGAAGCAGGCAAGCAGATCTGGCCGGCGAGACAGCAGTTGCCATCTGATCATGCTTCCGAAGCAAACAAGGAGGACGAGGCGCTTTGTTCGAGCTTGTCTTGCGGGGGTATCCAAGAGGTTTTGGCTTGGTGATGCAAAAGTTAGTTGGAATGACAAAACGAAAGTGGCAAAGGAATAGATTAGATGTTTCATTAGTTGTATGATGTTTCATGTCAGATAGTTAATAAGAATGCTAATAACTTTAAAGATCTGTATAATTGTGCCTGACATGCATAGCCTACAGAGTAATGGAGGAATGTTCGTCTCTGGATTATGATCGGGGAGTTGACACCTAGGGAAAATATTTATACGTAATGGCTGTAATTGAAAGTTGTTGTCGCCAAGCTGAAGAAAGTAACAGTATAGTCTGCAAGGAGGCTTGCTAGCAGCTTTGAACATAACACCTTTCCAGAGGTCTCAAGGTCAAGCATTGCCAGTTTTCATAAGATCATCATGTAAATTGATTTCTTAGTGAACTGGAGTCTTTGATGGAAACTCTTGTTCCTGCTTCTAAGTTTGCGCAAACAACCCGTGTTGACGAAGTTCTTCGGCATCGTTTTCGTAAACTATTCAAACTCTTGTTTGAAAAGACGTCCACGAGTCCACTAGCAAAGACCTAGTTATATAGATTCCAAAGGCAGCAATGCACAGAACTCCGACATACAGACCTGCAAGTGCCTGGCCTCCTAATGTCTGTAACATCTGACCGCCAATAGGTACAGTAATAAGCAACGCAAAACTTACCGTGAAATTAAGGGTTCCAAGGTACTGCCCATAATCCTTGTGCCCACAGGTTTCCCCCAGGCAAGCTGGGATGAGGGCTGAGAAGAAACCGGAACCCAACCCCCACAGCGTAGCAAAAGCATACAGCGCGCTCACTTGTGTACCACCGAAAGGCACAAGGGTAGCCCCCACACAAATTGCTGTCAACACGATGGCGAGAAACAGGGTGTTACAATGACCGTATTTATCTCCCAAAAGGCCCGACACAATACGGCCGACGCAACCGCTTCCATTAATAATGACAATAAGGTTGTAGCCCGTCTCAATAGAGTTGCCTGCCTGCAGAGAAAGAGTAGGCAAACTGCCGGAAGTGCCAAATATGACGAATTCGAGTAAGAAGAATGTTGCTGCGACGGCGGCGAATGTCTGCGACCGGAAGGCATTGAAATTGATGGCAGCGCTGGCGCCAGACTTTCCAGCAGGGTCACAAGGAGTAACAGAAACGTCTGAAACATTGGACGGCTGCATTGTGATGTTTGTCTGGAGGTTGCGAATATGCAGGTTGTACATCTTCATGTACGGTATGTAGCACGCACAACCCGGGATCATTATACCAATCATAAGTATACCAAGAAACCTTATTGTCCATGTGTAGCCCCAGGTTGGAAACAGTTCTCTCAGAATGAATGGTATTATGACGCCCCCGAGTGCGGAACCGTTGAGAGCCAATCCTATGGCCAGGCCCCGAAGCCGGGTGAAGAGTTTTCCAACGATGGATAGCGCAATTGTCGAAGCAAGAGCACCACCGATACCGCCAAGGATACCCAAACACAAGATAAAATGCCAGTACTCAGTACATTCCGCGAGCAAGAAGAACATGGGAATCGTCAGAGCAGTGGCTATGGGGCCTACGACCATGGGGCTGAAGCGGTCTATGATAGGCCCAGCTTGTATTCCCAAGAATAATGTGAGTGCTGTGTAAAGACCTGAAATCCACCCGAGATCACGAGTTGCGTATTCAGATAGCTGGTTCTCTTGTAAATAAGCTTGGAACGTGCCAATCGCCTGGGGAAAGCCTGTGGCTAATGCGTTAGTCTCGCTTCTATAATGAGATCTGGAGACGAGATTCAAGGGTGAGATGATCACGCACCATAGGATGGAATCAATAACAAAAACGACCCAAAGACGCAAATCCATGACGACAAATGGGATTCTGTATCATAAGGAACTTCATCAACCGTTGTAAGCATGTGGCGGGTGTTTGATTGATCGATTAAAGCTGCATGACCAGGTGGTGACGTTATTGGATCATCTGGAGAGTTTGATGCTACTATAGATAAGCTTTGCATTGTATGTCTGGTTTGTGGACTTGGCTCCTTGGTTCGGTGGCCAAGTAGATCCTGAAATAATAATTAAGGATACACTGTGATAAGGTCAAGAGTTTAAAAGAGGCTTCAGGATATATAGAGTGTGGTTACAAATCTTGGACAACACAGACAAACGAAGGACAAGGACAGATAGAAAACGATGCTTAAGTACTTAGAGAGCTCAAGGAACCTATAGCTGATTTGAGAACTCGCTTCCATGGACTGTAGATTATTACATGCAGCATTGTATGGATCATCTATATTTGGTATTAAATTCCGAACCCGTCCGTGATATGGAGGAAGCTGACTGGCTATAGGCAGTTTAAAATCTTTTTTGTGGTCCGGAACCACCTACTGAGAAAAGAAAACCGACCCACAAACCAATTGCGGCACCTCCGCCGATTGGACTAGTCCAGAGACAGGGCAAAACATCTCATAGCAACATCGCTCGCTCTCTGAATGTTGACGCAGGAAACACTGAAACCACGCGAATTGAAAGCAAACCGTGTTGGTTTGTTCTCTGCCAGCATGCCTAAAGCTTACGGGAATAGCCACAAACGGCAAACAAGACCGGAGACTGGGCCGAGACGAGTGCGGGGACCATATGCTCTGGGAGGATGCCTTACCTGTCGACGGCGCCATGTCAAATGCGATCAGGTCAAACCGGTCTGCCTCACATGTCAGGCTTGCGGAGAAACATGTGACGGATTCTCAAACGACTTGTGTTGGGTCGGAGCATCATCGTCTAGCAAGCGTGAAGCGCCTGCCGACCCCAGTCAAGGCTCAAGGCGGCATCTCTACACTGGTGAGATACAAGGGCTCGGCGGCGTCGAGAATACAGAGACGACGATGCTTATTTTGAATTAGAGCAGTCTCGGGCCTTGATGGCCGCGACTATATCCGCTAGTGTCCCATCCAGCTCCGTCGGCACAGTTCTAGTAGATATCGATGATCACTCCAGAAATCCGCGTTCTTTTAATACACCAGAAATTACTATAGGACCTTTTGGTGTGTTTGATGCAAGCCCTGACCGAGAATCGGCTGCAGCAGCAACATTCAATGTTGAATCTAATGCCGATGCTGACGCAACAGTCAGCAACACAGATCCAGCAACAGATATTTGGTATCCCTCCAAGTTTCCTTTTCACGCAGATGATCTGATATTTTGGGCTGACAATAGAATTAGTGATTGGGACAGATACATTGTATGGGACGATCTTTTCACGCTCGATATCGAGAACACCCCTTGGATGCCGTCAGCCAATGGATGTACGGATCGGGGATTACTCGAAAGTGCTCCCGACTTCGAAACGTCGACTGACCTCGGATATTCCAGAACGACACGCATCTCCCACACTGAATCATACATGTCAATGAATACTCTTCCCTTAATGCCCTCTTTCAAAGATGAACTCCGGGCTGTAGATTGGCATTCTACTTACATCACCTTTCTTCTAAGAAATTTCAACTCTGTAGTCATGCCGCGGATGGCCTCAGTTCCTCTGGCTAAGAAGTTTGCGTGGGGGCCGATGCATCACGAACTGGCAGTACAGACTCTGGCTGAGGTCACATTTCTCAAGAAACCAGAGGTAAATGAAGCCAAGCTCGCGAATTTGTGCGCAATCGTTGCTATTTCATCCCATCATTTATATTTGACCGGAGAGGAGTCTTTCCAATCAGCAGAATACTGGTTGCAACTCAGTACGAAAACAATCCGCCACGCTAATATACATCTGAGTCGGTCGCTCGAATCAGAAACACGAGGCCCAAAAACAGCAAAGTATAAAGAGCAACTAATGGCTGTACAGGCACTCATGGCTCACGCTGTATGTAATAGCTGTCCAAACTATTGGAAACCTCAGTGCTAATGGAAAAGTTCAGTGGGTGACTTCTAATCAGACTGAGGCACGGCGATTCCAGCTCGAGGCCGAGCGACTTGTGCGGTTCCGTGGGCTTTCAAAGCGGAACATTTCACGGCGAATACGCCTGCTGCATCATGCTTATACATGGAATAGAATCGTCGGCGAGAGTACTTATGTGCTTCACGACTATGGAACTTTTCAGCATGCCATCAGCGCTAGTGTTGGGGAGCCGGCAATATCTGACGGGGCAGAGGCCAATATCATGGCAAACGAGTCTTCCAGCCATAATACACAAGAGAACACGCGGTTAGATGACTTTCTCCGAATCGGACACCGTTTTGAAGAAATTGGTAGCCACCTTGAAGGACACAAAGATGCCCAAGCCGGGACCGAAGATATCCATCTAGAAGACCCACGTACTAGTGTTGAGGATGGTTTTCATGTCATTTACGGCATACCTGAGCAATGGCTTAGTCTGCTATCACGCACCACACGGCTAGCAAACTGGTTGGATGCTACCGAGATTCCCCAGAGGCTAAGCAACAATCGGCTTGTGGAGATATTGGAACGCCGGGCTCAAAGTCTCGAAGACGCTATCTGCTCTTTTGTTGAGAGTCGCAATCTATCTGCAAGCATCGACGCCAATGACCCGCCAAATGTGTGCATGTTCAGATGCCTTACAGCGGCTCTGCTCATCTTTTTCTACCGGCGCATCCGCAACGTTCATCCTCTCGTGCTTCAAGTCTATGTCGACCAGATAATCCGGGGATTGGAAATATTTGACGATTCGCTAGCACGGCATGGGCAGGCTGGACCTGGCTCTGCATGGGCAGCCTTCATCGCTGGATGCGAGGCAATGGGAGAGTCGAGACGGGAGAAGTTACGGCAGTGGATGGATCGAGCCTTCGACAGTTGCAGGTTTCAGTTGTATCAACGGGCAAAGGAACTCATGACGCGCGTTTGGGAACGGAGAAGTATGGCTCGAGAGTATCAGCAAAGGGTTCCACGTCGACCTAGCTGGATGGAAGTGTCAAGAGAAACTAATACATGGATTATACTACACTAGAACTTACATCCTATAATAAAAAAACTTATTCTTTTTAATAAAAGTTGCTTTCTAATTGTTCTTAAAAGGCTCTTCTATCTATGAAAGCCGTTGTGAAGCACAAGAGGCTTGCGATTTACAGCGCCTCTAACTAAAGATTTCCAGCGCAATGCAACCTGGATAGTCTCCAATTACAGATGCTGCTATTCTGATCCAATATATCAAAGGACTGAGGGATCTTGCGCTGCACGGTGCACTAAAACAAGCTAGGGTTAGCGTTAAGAAAACGTGATATTAAATCCAGCTAATAATAAATAACCAATTTTGCTGCAATGCTAATTACCCCCTCTTACTCCAAAACCACATCCGCAATTACGCCATGCCGCCCGAGGATTCTTCTGCAACCAAGCCAAAGCCAAAGCGATCGAGAGCAGGTAAACACAATCCAAGGAAATCCTCCAGCCTAGACTGATGGTTCTACCAGGCTGTTACACGTGTAAAATACGCAAAGTGCGGTGCGGATCTCCGCGTGATGGTGACCACGCGACGTTGTCAGCGTGTGCAAATTGTGAGAGACTTGGGTTGCCATGTCAATGGAACAAGCCCGCCGAAGGAGAGAATTATACCCCGCCGCCCAAACGTCGAAGAACCGTCGGAAACCGCCGCAGAGGCCAAGATGGCGACGCGTCGCCATCGCCTCTCCCACAACAGATCCTCCAGGAAGGTTCCAACGAGCCTGCTGAATCAACTAAATCAGCCGACGCAGCTGAGTTCGAACCACAGGCTTTCACGGATCTTACAGATCTCCAATTAGATCTGCCTGAGGAGTTTGACTTCGATGCCGGCCTAGGCGTGGAGCCGCATTTATTTTGGTCTGGGGAAGGGGTAGACTTTATCCCTCTCCCTCTCATAGAATCAACTCCTACGTTGTTCCAAACAACTGCGGATAACTATTTACAAGTGGAGATGCCCCCAGTGGCTCAACTTCCTTGTCTTAGCCCTGACACTGATCGGGATCCACTAGGTCAAGACACTGACATATCCGACTTTTCGATTACAGGCAACGTCGATACTCGGCGATTGATACAGCATTATCTTGAAGTCATGAATGGTTATTCAAAGGTAACTGATCATGGCAGTAACAATAACAACCTCTTCATTGCAGCATTCTCGAAGTCGCTGTTCTTTATGCCGCTCTACTACGCAATCTTATCATTCTCTGCATCTCATCTGTCATTACAGGATCCATCACTTGCTGATACAGCCTGTCGTCTCGACAATCTCGCTGAGGAGCATTTCAATCGTGCCTTCCAAGATTATACAGCAAAAGTAGAAGGTCTCCTATCTGCGCTCTTTGTTCGCGTCAAGAGAGTCCACGTTATGGGAGAGAGCGTCAGTTCCTTCTTGAGACTCATATCCATCGCCACCGAGATCATCTTTAGCAACCAAGGACGAGAAGCGTTGGAGAAGCCCTCGGAATTATCGGGACGGATTGTTCTCCGCCTTGCTACTCTTGACGCTAGGGCTTCGTGTTATAGATTAGGCGGCGGGCTTCTGGTCAGACGATTACGCGAGATTCCTTCGCTCTCCTTCATTTTCAAGTTTGAGGATAATGAATCATCGTCAACGAGTGCATTTGTTCATCTGTTGCGTGCTGACATTCTTCGCATGCGAGTTGGGCAGCTCGACCTGAGGGTTCACGAACATAAGGGCTCAGTCGAACTTGACGAGGTAGAAATGCTACAAGCAGATATAAAGACTCTCATTCATCGGTGGGAGCAGCACCTATCAAAGTATACCAAAGAAGGGGCCACAGTCTCGGCTTTGCCTGCGGGTGTGTACGGCTGTTATACCGTGTTGGGTGCTCTCCACTCAGCTTTACTGTATCTTCACAGTGTTTATGTAAGTAATGGCTCCTGCCCCAATACATAATGGAAGCTAATTTCTCATAGCCCTTAGACTCCATTGATAGCCACTGCTCCGTGGCCAAAATTCTGAACCACCAGCTTTTGATCCATCGAGATCCATCGCGTACTGCTTCGCCATCTTCAATATTACCCTCATCTCTTTTTCTAGCCGCTATATTTACAAAAGACCCAATATATCGCGATTGGGCCATTAAAATCCTTCAAGATGGTGAAAGATGGGGTTTATATGTTAAGAAAACGAATGAACTTGTTGAGGCGGTGTGTAGGATGCGTGAACGAGATAATTGTGTAGATATAGGGCTTGCAATGGAGAACACTACTGGGCGTTTTGTTATATAGAAAGGAATATTTCAATTACTGAATGCTCTTGGTGGTTTGAGTGCCTAATATATGGTCAAAATAGAGTAGTCTGGTTATGTATAATACCACCCATCTTTGCTGAGAGTTTAAACCAGACGTCAACAGACCGATCTTACATCGTGTATCGAAAAGTACGCCACTTCTCAAAGTCTGTCTCATCGGTGAACTCTGGCCTAGTGTTGGCTACGGACTCATCGCAAAGCTTATCGCGGCGCGCATTCTCATATTTATACCAACTAAGCTGTAGGATAGGTAGTACCACCATGAGCGCATAGCATCCCACTAGACAAACACATTAGTCAAGAGGTCTGATGTAGTAGTATTCGCGAAACTTACTCAGCATCTTAAAGGCTAGGTTGTAGGTAGGTGCTTCTCTTTCTAGGAAGAATTCTATGAAGATGTTTAGCTAATGAAGTGCGACTCGCGAGGCTGGCTACGCACGAGGACCTGCGATAAGGCCGGCTGCCCACCCGGCGAAGATGATACCAGACGCCGTTGACTTCTTGGTATTGCCGGCGTAATTGGAAGCCATAAGGCCTGCACTGAGAGTGAAAGACATGGAGTGGCTAGCCACGGGTTAGTATATGCCACCAAACGGTTCATATCGAGCACTGACGTGTATGTTAAGAAGTATCCGGCTAATCGGCCTGCTGTATTTGTTGTCGGTAGTGTGTGCAGAAGGGAAGCCCCAATCAATGGTGGAATGGAAACTAGGATCGACAGATATAATCGGATGTTGTTGTGTTTGGACGCGATATACGAGAATACAAGAAACGTCAACAGCTGAATGACTGCAGCAGGGCAAGTGGAAATGAGAGTGGTTTGGATAGCTGTAAATCCAAAACCCTTCACTATCTGACTTGAAAACTACCCCTGATGTCAGTATTCACCAATCAAGTACAGCCCGAGCTACTCTTACCTGGCTAGCAAAGGTTGATGGCATCGTATTACCCCTAAAGGGAATGATTAACAGGCAGTTCCCATACCAATTTAAGCTGTAAGATCTCTTACATGGCAGTAACAAAGAAGAAGACTGTTTGTGGATCTCGTAGGGCTTCCCAGAACTGATGCCACTTCCACTCACTATCCTTTGTAACAGTCTGATTCTCTCGAACTCTCTCGATTGCGATCGTTTTCTGGCGCTCGTCGAGCCACCGGGCGTTGCTCTGGTTGTCTGGCATGAGATACATGAGGACGAAAGAGAAGGCGAGGCTGAGTGATCCGAAGAAGAGAAAAAAGATCTTCCATGTTGCGATCGAACCGTGGACTGCACATGAAGGCATCAGTACCTGTCAAAGTAAAGAGAATGATTTATTAAATATACTTAGGCCTAAGGCATAGCTCAATATACCACCGAAGAAGTTGCCAATCTAGAAAAATTAAGATTAGATCTAACGTAATGCTGGTAGGGTGTAAGTACTTACTGGAGTACCACTAAGCCAAAACGCTGTTCTGAAAGCTTGTTCGGGGCGCGTCCACCAGTTACTGGTAATGATAACGAAAACAGGTCCAATAATACTCTCGCATAGGCCAAGGAAAAACCGAATAGTTGCAATACCAGCGAAGTTTGTGCATTTGACTAGACAGTAACCAATGTAAGTCGGTGCAGGTAAATAGTTGAAATGAACATACCAGTAAGGAGAACAATGATAGACCAGGCGCAAACAGCGCCCGCGATGAACTTTCCTGCATGTCCGGGCCATCTTTGTACCAGCTTCGCCCAAACCATTGAGCCAATCATATAGCCAATATAAAAAATACTGAGAGCATTAGCAACTAATATCATACTACATCTGTGGTGCTCTACCTTCCGAGCCAGCTGTAGTCAGAGCCCTCCAGACCCAATGCTTCCTTGATGCCAAAGATCGAGGCGTAGTTCAAAAGGGTCTTGTCGAGGAACTTGGAACAAAAATCAGCGACTTGGGGACAGAAGTCGACGGAAAGAACTAACCGAAAAGATATAGCAGGCACATAGCATAGGTAGGAGGATAAAGTCAATCTTCCGCTTGACTGCTTTACCCTCCTTTGCGGTGAATACAAAGACTGCAGTCGTTTCATGTTCTTCGGCCATTTCGTAATGATGTTTGTTTGAGGAATCGTTCGAGTTTGCTGGAGTAATGATGTTTCCCTCGGTGGGGGAAGAGCGCGACTCAGTCATGATGGGTAGAGGATGCTTGATAATCACCAGCGATGCAGTAGAGGGGGTGTCGAGGAGTAGAAAAATCCGGGGTTGAAGGGTTTCGTATCCAGAAAGTCTGGGGTTATCTGGAGACCTTAAAAAGGCTCGCAGTTGTTAGTTCCACGTTCGAACCGACAAGCCGATCTAGGTTAGTTAATACGGGGAGTCGATCCGATAACGAAAATAGCCGACTATGTCGGCAAAAAGGTATCACGTGATGCTGTCGGCTGTCTGCCTCCTACGGCATCTGTGTATCAATATTCAGTAAGTAAAGCTATAAATTACGCGAATTAGGCCCCCTGTAGATCCATCAGAGTAATCCAGTTACTTGATTCTATTATAACAATAATTCCATCTTACCAAGTCCAGCAAACGACTCCAAACTTGCTTCTAAATCTACAAACTTCAAAACATGGCGGTAGAGAAACCTCAGGCCAATAGCGAGCGTGTTGAAACGCCAATTATTGAGCTTCTACCCGAGACAGAAGCTTCACATGCGGTCATCTTGGAACCTTATCATGTTGATCTGCTTCCAGAGTATGAATACGTCAGCAGAGAATACATGATCAGCGGCTTTGCAGCTGGTGAACCATATTGCACGCGCCTGCTTCTACGATGCCCAAAGGACCCGGAGCGATTTACTGGGTTTGCAATTGAGGAACCTTCGCATCTCTGGGGAGGGACAAGCATCTGGCGTCACATTAATAGGTGGCTCATGCGCAATGGTAAGTGACCTCACCCTCATAAGAGTCTCTTAACTAAATAAGACAAACAGGGCATGCCTGGATCGAGATCGATTCGCAAGCCCCGTCAGCAATTGGAAAAATCAAATCGGCCGATCCAGAACGATACAAGAATATGACTTTCATTCCTGGTCCTATCTCGGACCACTTTGCGGATAACATCCCGTTCGTGACAGAAATCACGAAAGAATCACTGCGAGCTGCATACGATGAATTCAAGAAGGAGTGGTGGCCGGCGACTCTACAGTCCCCAGAAATTATCGCTGCTGCGTCTTATGCTCTAAGGTCTGGTCAACTAGGTCTCCGAGCTGACCGTGTTGTTCTTAGTGGACTCTCTCAGACGGGAGGCGTCACTCGTCGTTTCATCACACACTCATCGCACTTGAGACTACCAGATGGTGAATTGCCATTTGAGGGCTTCATTCCCTGTCAATCTGGTGGTGAAGCTCTGCCAGACTTTCCAGGCTCAGCTATCATAGAGCTCTTAGGCGAGTCTGAATTTCAGTCTGTGAGACTGTCCTGCGGTGTTAGTGGGCAGATGAACGAGACCAAGCACCGCCGACCGGACAGTGAAGGATTCAGATTGTATGAAGTTGCTGGCATGGCCCATCGAGAGTCCAGATATGCATCTCAAACTGATTTAAAGCGTTGGTCAGTGGCTGACCTGAAAGGTGCAGAGTGGAGTACTTTTGCAAATTCTTTTATCTATCACGCCGTTTTTGATCTTATGGAGAAGTGGACTAAAGACCCTCTCTTCACACCCCCTCCGAGTGCTATTCTCAAGACTGTTGGAGATTCTGATGAGATCGTTCGTGACTTTCATGGGAATGCTCTTGGGGGCGTGAGGACAATTCATACTGATGTTCCACTTGCAAGGCTTATTGCTGCGACCCCAAAGGGCCGTCCAAATTGGTACTGGGGTAAGCAAATATTTAGTCCTGGTCCTACCCAAGTATTCACTAATAATGTCCAAAGGTTCTGAATGGCCGTTTCATGCTAAGAAGTTGGAAGATTTGTACTTTTCAACAGCCATCTATCGACAGAGGGCAGGTCAGGCACTTCGAGAGTGCATCGATGCTGGATTTCTTCTTGATGCTGACGCAGAGACTTTACGTCGTGAAACTGTTGAGAAGGTCTCTTTCTAAGTCTACATGCATGGCTTAACTACATCTTTGTCTTTAACCTGGCCATAACTCTTGTCATTAGTTCAAACATATGCCGAGAGAAAAGATGATAGTTTCAATTTTGATCCTTGCCGTTTATTTCCTAAGCTGTATCTTATATAGATAGTCTCATATCAAACCGCTTGCCACCTACTAAAGGCATTGTTGCTTTATCCAATTTCCCTGTCGGTGTCCTTTTAATATCTTGTACAATCTCTATCACACTCGGCACCTGAAATCGAGCTACACGAGTAACCGACCATTGCCAAAGCTCTTCCTCTGTCACTGTGCTTCCCGGACGGAGCTGCACAGCTAATTTGAGGTCATCCTCTGTACCCGGGCCCAACTGTGACGGCACGCCATATGCTGCTGCAACGACGACGTCTGGATGACAAAAGAACTCATCCTCCACTTCGCTAGCGTTGACATTCTCGCCACGTCGGCGCACAACATCTTTGTCTCGGCCGACAAAGTACACATTGCCATGTTCATCCACCTTGGCCAGATCACCCGTGTGTAGCCAGAGGTTTTTGAATGCTGAAGCTGTATATGTCGGATCGCCAAAGTACTCTTTCAGCATGGCGTTGGGATGGTCACTACGAATTAGAAGGTGGCCGGGAGTGTTGACTGGAACCTCGTCGCCCAAGTCGTTGATAATACGTAGTTGGTAACCTTTTCGTGCACGTCCACAGGATCCTGGGGGAGAAGGAACCCCGAGTCTTTGGAAAACAGGAATGCCGGACTCGACACTTCCGTACAAAGTGATTAATGAATGGCCGAACCTCTGCTTATATTCTTGCGCGAAGTTTGGCAGAGGTACACCCCAAGCAAGTCGAACGTTGTGGTCGCGGTCTCGTTCGTTGGGCTGTTGCTTGTATGTGATTGCCAGCGTAGCTCCCATATAATTATAGACCGTGGCCCTTGTGGTACGGATCTCGTCCCAGAACTTGCTGGCGCTGAACCTAACCGATACTGCAGCAATGGCGCCCAGCAAGAGAGCGGGGATCATGGTCAAGGCCGTGGCATCCAAATGGAACATGGGGAATGGGCAGTAAAGTACATCGTTGTCTCGCAATTCGCAACTCTCGACCAATGCCTTGGCCTGAAGAATAAAGTACTCATGTGAGAGAACACAGGGCTTAGACTTCCCAGTGGTGCCACTAGTGTACAGCAATGCCGATGTTGTGGCTGGAGTGACGCTCACAGGCTCTGTAACCGATGTAGCCGGCTCCATCAAGTTAGAGAAGCTCTGGGGACCAGTCCCATCCGGCTTGTTAACAAATACACATGCATCGTCAACTACTCCAGTCTGTTGGAGCTCTGGCAACAGTGCTTCATCGACGATAGCTAGCTTGGGTTGAGCGGATGTGATGACACCCTTGAGCGTGACAGACTTGAGCTCAGGATTGATTGGTACCCATATTGCCCCAAGTCGATTAACAGCCATCCATGAATATGCCATTTCAACACTGTTTCTCATCATAACGAGAACTCTATCGCCTGAAGCGATACCGAGCTTCCTTAGGCCACCAGCAAGTGCTCCCACTGCTGTGTTGAACTGTTGGAAAGTGACGTCTTGACCTCCAAAGCGAAAAAATGGTCGTTCCGGGAAAGTTTTAACAGAATTGCATAGTGCCGTGTTAAGATCTCTAATCTTGCCCATTTCGACAGCGTTGGTTTCATGACCTGATGGTGTGGTGGCCACCTTCCGAGCCGCAAAGTTGGCGTAACCCAACGCTGCATCACTCTGGGCGAAACAGTGACTGGCCACGTTCACTTCATCCTGCAAGCATGACTCCATGTTATCGAAAAGCGTCTTCTCTAAAGATGTTTTGGAGGATGACAATGAGATGCTCGGAAACTCAGAGAGCTGCCTCGCAAGCTCCAATGCTCGCACTTTGGGGTCATGGTTGATCTCTGTCAGGAGGCCGAGCTTGAGGGCTTCGTCGGCATCCACCCAACGGCCAGTGAGGAGCAATTCCTTGGCTTTCAACAGTCCCACCATATGGGGCAAGCGAAGGGTGATGCCCCCAGTAACAGCATGGCCAAGTGAGACTTCCGGAAAGCGAAACTTGGCTCCGGGTCCACCGATAACGAAGTCTGCTGCTAGTGCAATCTCTGCACCGCCGCCGATGGCGAAACCCTGGACAGCAGCAATGACGATGGATTGAGAGGATGAAGTAAGACGAGTAATATCTTGCAACTGTTCAAAAGCCTGTTTTAGCTCTTCGGCCGAGCCCGTTTCTGGTGCCAGAGTCTGCTTGAGGTCTTCGCCGGCACAGAATGACCGGTCACCTTGTCCCTCGAGAATGATGATACGAGCACTGGCGTTGTTTCGAAGTGCTTCGACAAGAGAACGTAGCAAAGGCACATTCAAGGCGTTTAAGGACTTCGGCCGATTCAGGGTGATTCTCATGACCGAGGGGATAGGGTGCTCGATAAGCACCACTGACTCAGACTCGTGGTTATTCATGGTATGTGTGAGCGAATAGTCACCAGCAAAAGACGATGACCAAGGTAATGAATGATAATTCAAGGCTGCTAAGTAATGGTTAATGGTTGAGAGGCTTGTTTCCCGTTTCATGTTTATATAGACCTGCCTTAGAGTAGGCTTCCGATTTCGGACTTACATGCCAGAAGGCACACATGTAGTTTGGAAATTCATACCGATCCGAATTCCCCCCAAAGGAACAAAATGACATGCTATAGCGAGTTGGTGTCATCAAGTTTCCTTACGGAAGTCAACTGGTAGCCCCATGACGCGAGTCGCTTTGCACTCCATTACCGCCACTTCCCCACTTTACCTTTTTGATAGTTACAAGAAACGTATACCGAGCCAAATACGTCCTAAATGAAGAACGACATGCTATAGCGAGTTGGTGTCATCAAGTCCCCTCACAGAAGCTAACCGATAGCCCCATAATGCTAGTCGCGCTGCGCTCTATCACAGCCACTTCCCGCGCTATACTTATTTAGGAATTGCAAGAATCGCATACCGAGCACTTCTCCACCTAGTTGCGTTAGTGGAAAACAAAGACTACCTGTTGGTTGGGTAGTTATTACCAAGATACTTTGACGAAGCGATTGCAAGAACAACCTACATGTTCCAATTTTAAATCTGAGTCGTTTTCCATAGACTCACCTTTTGGTGTCAGATAAATCTCCGAAAATAGAATAGAGCTTGATAAGACGATCGAGTTTGACACACAACTGAGCCCTTTGCATTTTCTTCCATTTTGCTTTCTTACCCTTTTTCTTTTCATTTCATCCGACCATTATACTTTACTTTTTGGGACTCGTCACACCCATAAGACCTAAATCTCTTCAACAATGCCCACTGAAGTACGTCCAAGTCCAATTGGTGGTCCTCAGACAACCCAAGCTCTGTCCCAGCGTCTCGCCTCCATAGCTGCTTCTCATCCAGCTACCCTCGACCTTCAGGGAAAGATCAACGTTGAGGTATCTCGCTCGGTATTGTCTGTACGAGAAGAATACATCCAAGACAACCTGACCTCAACGACTTTGGCCGGTCTCCATGCAATCTCGCCACCTCCCTTCGTTTATAAAGATGATGCAGCCGGAGGTCTCTTAGCATTCTATCACCTTGGCCACAAACTATCCGGCCATTCTGGCCTTGTTCACGGTGGCATAGCTGCCGTGTTGCTAGACGAATGCATGGGAAGAGCGAGCTTCCCCCGACTGACCGGCAAGATTTCGGTTACGGCAAATCTTAACGTGAGCTACAAGAGTCCGATAGAGGTAGATAGTATCATCCTGATTCGGGCCGACGTTATGGAAGTTCAGGGGCGGAAAGCGTGGGTTCGGGGCGTAATTGAGAATGCAGAGGACGGTACAGTCTTCGTCGAGGCTACTGGGCTTTTTATCGAGCCTAAATGGGCGGATTCCTTAGCAAAATTGCTTTAGGGAACGAGATCTTAGGGTACTACATATCAATATCCAGGCGCTGAAGGACAATTTCGATAGGAGCCATGTGCTTCTATCCTCGTTGTCACCTCCCGAATAAGTCAAATTCCAAAGGGCACAATTTGCTAGTACAGAGCATCATATAAGTAGACTATCAAATTCAAGCTCATGCATGATCTGTTTCCAATCCATGATAACCTTTCCAGGATCCAAACCACTTTGTTGGCTGATTACCTCGCGTCTTCGCCATATTTCATAAAGGACAACTTTTATCGAAGTTCGGCTTCCTATGCCTACCGATGTTGCCCAATTAACCCACTCTTGCGCTGTCGCCAAATCTTCCTGTGTGTATGCCTCGGCTGCGGCGATGAAGGCTGGCCATGCAGAAAAGTTCCCAGTACTGTTGGCGAGAAAGGCTGACACGTGACCCAAGGTATCGTGGACATGGTGTTGAATGGCGTGAGGGGGTACATCAAGCAATGTTCGGTAGCAGTAAATATAAGTCGCAGATATGAATGCTTTTGCTTGATGCTTGGCCTCTGGAGGATTGTTGGGAATGAAACTGCTGCTACTTTGGACTGAATTGAGACATGAGAGGACTTCGTGGAGAAGCTCATTGCTCGTTGTCCGAGATATGTCACCAAGTGGTGCTTGGCTAAAGTTCGTGATTTTGGAGATGCATTCCAAAATGCAGCGTGGCGCCCCGATAGTGAAGATGAAATCAGGTGTGGACAACATCGCCAAAGGATCCGGGTTCCCAGCGTCAGGTGACTGACGATTAGCCTCGAAATCAGAGCGATTGGACCATGTAGAGGATCCGGCGATGATCTCTATCACGCCGAGGCTTTCTAGGGAAGAACGAGCCAAGTCTGACAAGATCCAGGGGTAGGCCTCACCGTACGACCAAAGAAGCGTCCTTGCTCCCCGTAAGTGGTGTTTCCAGTCTGTGGAATGACCGCGGTAGGCCTGGAAGATGGTCAGGGGAAATGAAGCTCATAAAACGCCCAAAGTATGAATCCGTTCCTGTGGACATACCTCAGCAAACATCAAGCTCATGATAGAAGCTAGCATAGCCGAGGAGTCGGTCTTGCTATGCACCAAATCATGTGTTAGATGCGACAGTGCCGCATTGTAGTACCGTAGCGCAATGTTAGCCATCTTGGCATCGTTTCCAAGCAAATGGGCGATGTTGAAAGCTGAATGGGCTAGTATGGCCCTATACAGGACTTTCTGGCCTGATAATGCAAGTTGTAAAGCGGCAGTGGCCCAATAGCATTGCCATGGATTATAGGGATGTTCGTATGGGAGCATTATGAAAGCTACGTGGGTGACGTAGTGATGGAATAAGAAACGCTCGTCCTGGAGCGGACCCGTGATTGAATCATGGCTTTGCGGTCGAGGTTTGAACTCCTCCAAAAGCGTTGGATTAAGGGAGCTTCTCAATGGCGTTGAAATCTCAGGCCTCGATGAAAACACTGAGAATGGGTTATGACATTCGGGCGTCCAAGATGATTGCTCACGATGGATGTAGGGTTGGGCGTGACAAGGGTTCTCGTCGCAAGACAATATCAGGAGGTCCAAATGTTCGCTAGATAAAGTTTCAAACCCTGCCCATGTTAATTCTGCTGTGTATCAGCAACAATGCAACTATCAGGGACGTCCACGAATAGGACCTTAACAGGAACACAATGAGGGTCTCACATCATGAAGATAGCCCGGAGAGATTAACATTACATACCGCTACGCAAAATACGCCGCCCATCGGTTTGAAAAGGCTTTGATTTGTTTTGTTCCATCCATACAATCTTCGAATCGTAGCCAGAGCACTGAATGCCGATGCGTCGACAATTGAGACACCACGGACGTGTCTCGTCACACTGAATGGGTCAGCCTGGGTGGACCGCTAAACAGATGGGATTCATAACTTGTCCTTACCTTCACTTTACGTGATCGACATTTCCAGCAGCCCTGTATCACGATGATGAGCTGTTTAGACCTCGTGAGTTCTCATGCGTACATACAGTGAACGTCCGATGGCGGCGCCGTGCGCCCTGCGTAGGTGGCATATCTGGCTTAGTCAAGTCGGCTGCAGATTCTACGCAATTAGACGCCTGAGCTGCAGGTAGTTTATGTTTAGTACGGAACTCAGTGAAAGATGACGGCGTTTATGACGGTATGAATTGTCCTCTGCAGTTGTAGTAGCTTTTGAACGACCATGCCTGGCTAGTGGTGTCTAGCAAACGGCCGATGGCTCCTGGGATTAGTGTTAATCCGGATCACCCACTTTTTGTACTTGTGCCTCATACGGATAGCCTACTGAGTACCGGAGCTGTGTGCGAATGGCCCCACTCCGAGCAGAGAGCGGAGATACTCCAGTTCATCAATCGGCGGCACCTGATGAAGATTTTATTTAGCTACCTAAATATCCAGATTCCAGCCACGTTGACATGAGAGGCCAAACAGACTAACTATATAACCGCACATGCGGAGTCCTAGCCAAGACACAGACAATAAAGGTTTAGCAGAGATATACCAGAGAGCATTAACACTATCCCTTGTCCCCCTCTTTATACATCTCTTTAGTTGATTGGGCATTTATGTCCTTGAGTGGTGAATGCGTCACCCCTGCTTCCGTAACACATATCCACTCTGAGTCTCGAGGTAAGTTTCAAACTTAACCAGGTGGGGATGATTGCTTCTGAGCTCCTGGACGTTTGCACCAAAACCCTCATCCTGCATCCACTTAAACATCGCACCAATGCCCTTAAGAAAAAACAACACAATCCAAGCAACAATTCCGAAAGTAAGGGGTATGCCCCGACCGGTCTTCTCCTCAAAGATCCTGGAGGCTCGATCAAAAGTCAACTCATCGCCAGCAAGGGAAATAGCTTGACCTTTGTAGCGTTCCGGATCCATGAATGCTTGAGCAGCAAAGTACCCTATGTCAGAAACAGCGATGAGTTGAAGCGGCTTGTTCTTGAGGGCGATCTTCCAACACGTCAGAAACATCTTGGCTTGGAACCCTGGTTTGTAGTTATCCATGAATCCAGTTGGTCGAAGAAAAGTCCAATCCATATTCGCCAATGGAGCCTTTTCAACCAGATAATGCTCTATGTCATATTTACTGGCAAAGTGCGGAACTGGCGTGCGATTGTTGAACGACCGATCACCACCACGGTCGACAGAGCCGTACACAAAGAACCTCACTTTGTGATTGATACATTCGTCGATGAATGCTGTTGCTTGTTTGACCTCCTGTTCCGGTGTCTGGTTGCTGGCAAGCGGATTCTGGGTACCTGGTCAGATGATGAAAGTTCTCCCGGGGACTGTAACTAACCTGAACAAAATAGACCCCCCATGTCGGTCCAGAAACGATATCCTCAGCGTTTTTGAAGAGAGCTACAGGATCGTCAAGATCTCCTTGTATGAGCTTGATCTCAGACGACTTTTGGGCGAGTCTCTGGGCCGTTGAGGACACAGGATCCCGGGTTACGGCGAGAATAGTGAAAGAGGCCTCTGATTGTAGAAGATTGTCAATCACTGCACCACCCTGGTTCCCAGTAGCCCCAACTACCAGAATTGCTCTTGCCATGGTAATTTATCGGAAGAAGAAAAAGAAAGTCAGGATGTGGTCAAGATGAGAGAGGGTGCTTTTGAGACTGTTTGGTCTTGGCTGCGGTGTGTATCTAAACGGTCGTGTTATAAATGAGGTTATATGAAGTATCTGGAGCGACGCAAAATGAAAAGTCTTAAAGAGGGGCATAAAGCAGCAGAACTTATACCCGAAATGTCGCAGAAGATAAGAGTCCGAATGCCGTAGTCAAATTTGGATTGAGTTTCGCCGGCCGGATGTAAACGCACCGGAGATTATCGGCCGAGACGGCATTTACGCCCGGCCTGGCCGGCCATCACGAAAGGAATTAACGGCCGAGGAATTGTGGAGAAAGGAGATTCTGACCAATGATAACAATGACAACAAACATCCCCATGTTGCGGACAGAGCCCAGACACTGCTTTCTCCAAACCTGTTATTTATTTTCAGCTTTATATCTCCGCTATAGGTCTATAAAAACGCTGGAAAGCAAACTACTACTGGACTTTCAACTTGTCTCGCATTCTTCTTCCATTAACATTATTCTCTACATCAACTCTAACAAACAAGCTTGGCAAGATGGACGGACGAAAGCTTGTGCTTGTGACAGGCGCCAACACCGGTCTCGGGTTCCAAATTGTCAAGGCCATTTGCAGCTCCGATACAGAATACGAAGTATTGGTCGGAGGTAGATCTATCCAAAAGGCTGAGCAGGCCATCACGAGCCTCAAGGAACAGTTTCCCTCCAGCCATCTTCATGCTATTCAAGTTGACATTGAAGATGATGCATCCATTGTCGCTGCATTTGAACATGTGAAGACCAAGTATGGAAAACTCGATGCTCTCATAAATAACGCAGGTGAGTCCAGTCTCTTCAAGAATGCTTCCGCAATACTGACCGGGCAATGCATCAAAGGTGCCCAATTAGACCAACAACTGGCCGCTGGCAAGATGTCAGCAAGAGAGATGTGGAACAAAACCTATGATGTCAACGTCACCGGGACCCATCTCTTGACTTGGACTTTCGCCCCGTTGCTCCTCGAATCCAGCGATCCCCGCCTTATGTTCATCGCTAGCGGTACATCTTCTCTTACCACGTCTGAAGATCCAGACTTCCCTGTCAATAGGCAGCCCAGCAAAGGGTGGCCCAAGACCCTAACTAACTTGGATTTGCCCGCGTACCGAAGCAGCAAGACTGGAATGAACATGATGATGAGGTACCATGTAGTCAGGTCAATGCGAGAGATTAAGCTGACCCAAAGTTAGGGAGTGGTTCAGGATTCTTGGTCAGGACGGCGTTAAAGTATGGGCCATTAGTCCTGGATACCTGGCAACCGGCCTTGGCCTTGGCCAAGAGACGAACAAAGCACAAGGCGCGATTGATCCTGCGATTGGGGCTGCGGTTGTCAAGGATGTTCTGATTGGGGTGAGGGATAAAGATGTCGGCAAAGTCGTATCAAAGCAAGGCATTCAGCCTTGGTAGGGCTCAATTCTCATTCATAGGTCGAGAGCCGGGGTTGCTAGAGACTCAGCTTGAATCACACAGACTGAGTCAAGGATTCAATGACAAGTTCATTTCTGGAGCTTTAGTGGACTATGTCCCCTAAACCTTATTTTTCGATCTAGCCAACATTCAATGATGAGAGATATCAAACAGCTCGTCAAGATAGTCCCAGTTGGTTTCGTTTAATAGTTGGGTCTCACCCCATTTCCAGCTCGATCCCTCAGTGACATTTGAGGATGGTCTCAAGGTGTTTATGGGTGGTAACGTATCCATATCAGACAGTACCTGCATGCACTCGCTGCTTTGTTGCACCTCTAAATGAGCAACGGTGGCTTCCACTATTGATAAAACTCTAGATCGTGCTCTTGCTCCATCTTCCGATTGTTCCATCTGGATCACTGTTCTGGCTCTTTCTAAAAGAAGCTTTGTTCCCGGCTCGTCGATATGGATACCATCCGTTGCCTGGTTTGTTGCATAAGCCACAAGACATAGTGTAGTTACGCCGAGTAAGAAGTCATGCCAAGTGATGCTCTTCATAAGCCACTCCTCAGTATCCAGCTGACCTCCAGGCTTACACTCCTCATAAACACGCAGGAGATCAGTTACCAAGGCAGATGACGCGGCATAGCATTCTCGGACGCTCTTGTCTCTATGTCTGGTCACATGTGGACGATGAAGAACACAGAGACATTTGTAGTACACAAAAGAGATACAAAGACGAGCGACAATAAGTTGGGGATGATCGATTATACAATTTTCGATTGGCCGAGGCTGATATAATTCCGGCAGGGCTTTGTATAAGCCTTTCAGTTCGGTGTCCAAAGCGTCGATTTCACTATCCTTTGCTTCGTGTAAACGATCCATCAGCACATGTTGAAAGATCTTGTCGAATATTGTCATAAGTCGGTGCTTCAGGATGCAAAATGTCACACCAGTCAACTCGGTATTGGCCCGTGAGGTAGGTAGTTGAGTGCTATCTTCGTCAAAGTCGGAGTCGAGAAGATTGCTTGGAGCGCGTGTGTTTGAGACTGATAAGGAGATTCTACTCGGAACACCCAGGTGGAATGATACCAGAAGATCCAGCTGCACGAACATGCTCCATGCCCTGCGTCGCATCTCTGCTGCAAAGGGACTTATGCCTGGGACGCTGCTCTCTCTGTGATAGCCTGAAACCGTGGCAATATGGGCAAGCATGCTGAGAAGAGTACCCATGTCTGGAGAGATTTCTAGACATGTGACGAAACGCGATTGAAGGTAAAGCAGGAGTGCTTCAAAGCAGAAGGGCTTGGGACGGAAATACTCGCCCAAAGCAAGACACTGGGCGGCAGCAACTGTAAATCCATGCCCTGGTACCTCGTTTTCTCTACTGGTCCGGGAAATATTGGCGGCCATGAACAGCATTGAAAAGAGAATCGAGATCCAGAGCGGCGATGCTGCAGCAGGGTCATTCCAAAAAGCCTCATACTGCCTCCGAAATTGCACTGCGTGTATGAACGGCGTGATGTACAGCCGAACTCGGAAGTATGCAGAGACCAGGCGGTCGGTATCCCTTCGCGAGGGAAGATGAGTGTTGAGTACTTGTTCGATACTCAGAGCTTGCGAGAGACCGGCACCAAACATGACGCCTATTCCCATCCCGGCTTCTGATTGAGGAGCGCTGACGTCTTCAGCATCTGTAGAATTGTCCTCGAAAGAATCTAGTGTAGACCTGAGCGCTTGTATATCATCTAGCATGGCTGACCAGTGTGTTGTGCCGCTCTCAGTCTGGTAACAAAGGTCAGAACGCAAAGATGACGACGCAGTTGCATGTTCCGCGATGCCCGGATCTGGTGGCGACACAGCACATAGGGTGGCATTTTGAGCTCCGTCATTGGTAGCCGAGCGTTGTCCTGCAAGCATTTCGACGAGATGCTCCAGATGTTCAAGGCGTGCTTGGGCCTGGGCTTGGCGGACACGGTCGCGCTCCGAGTTATCGGGGGAAACTTCGTAGGAGCAGGATGGAATATCTCTCCTGCGAACACAGCTGCCACAGGGGCTTTCACGATCACATCTGAGCTTCCTCTGTCGGCAAGCTGTACAGGCCAGCCGCTCCCTATGCTTTTTCAACCTCGAACCAGAGCTCATGGCTTGATGGAGGACATATTCTATTCAGCGCGATGACTAACGAACAGAGCTGACTTTTTATGAGGGGTCTTCAGGTCCACGCGTTGCTTCCCCGAGGGCTAATCCATAACAGGGTTAGTGCGTATTATCACAATCGACGCCTGTAACTTATACAAGATTATATCTATAACTTCTGCGGAACTAATTATCACACCAGATATAGGACATTGAGGTGGACAGAAAGAGCTAGGTGCTGTTCTGCTAAGGTATCTACTCTTGCGTATAGCTCTTTTCATTCCTAGACATTAACAGGTTAATAGCGTTGAACCTGAAATTATCAGGCTCAAGGTAAAATTCAAATGCCGATGAGAAGACAAAATTCCTCCCGTTTTTGCCGCCTTTGGTATATGTCGGCCACAACGGCACAGAACGATTGTCAATACCACAGCCCCCCCTCCCAAAAGAGTTTGGGTCTTGGTCATGAACGAAGCTCACCCAAAAGCTGCTCATGAGTCTTGCCGCTTCTGCATAATCCGCTCCCTTGTCCTCAAAAGCCTCCTTCGTCCCATTCCAAGGAGGCATGTTTTCTTCGTTATACCCAATTCCGTTATGGTTGTAAAAGGCGAAAGGAATCTCTTGAACATGTGAAGCGCCAAAGACACCCGGGATTGACGCTGGGACGATATTGAAGCGATAGGAGTACACATCTAGGGCCGCAGAAGACCAAATCTGACTAGTCCAGCGTTTGTTCGCGATGATGACAGAGTCGCCGCCATTGTGAACCATAAGGATATCCGGGGCGATAGCTTGTAGGTAATGTCGGCACTCCAGGAATGCCTTCACTTGGAACATCAGGGTAAGCTCTCTGTACCTCCTGTATAAATGGAGTTGGGAGATGCTGGTTATCTGTAATGAAGTGTTAGCCAAATGAGCAAATCCTGGTCTTGGGAGATAAAGTACCTTGCAAGTACGATATGAATTCGGCATCGCTGCTGATGTTCTTTGGTGTCGGGTCTTTTGATGCAAAGTACGTCCCTTCGTCAGTATTTGTGCCAATCAGAATCGTCACATGGACGAACTTTCCCTTTGACAGAAGCTCAGAACCCGAACCTTGGATGAAGTCCCCATCTTTGGAAGGAGTAAAGCCTGACCAGAGACTTGGTGCAGCATGGAATACCTTGCTTAGCTCCGCAATCGGAACTTGCCGTAAGCATTGTAGACCATCAGCAGAATTGTTGCACCCGGTCATTCTTAGCAGCGCTTCATATGACGGTTGAAAATACTGAGCAGGAAAGACGGGTAGATAGAACACAGGGTTTCCACTGTCCATAATAGCTCCACGGAATAACCTATCGTCTCTGCCTCCAAACGCTGTGAGATGGGCGCCAACGGAAAAGGCTCCAGCGCTTTCTCCCCATATCGTGACTTGTTCCGGGTCGCCACCGAATGCTGGGATATTCTCCTGAACCCAGCGCAACGCAAGACGTTGATCCTTGAACCCGAGGTTGGTATTTCCTGTCTTAGCAACCTCGTCCGAGTTAAGGAATCCTAGAGCGCCAAGTCGATAGTTGAGAGATATGCCGATGATGGGCTTTCCGATAGCTTCAGACTGGTGGACGATAAATGAGAGATTATAGCGCTGATCAATAGCTGAGCCCTCGACAAGGCCACCTCCATGGATCCAAACAAGGGCTAGAAGCTTCCGACGTCTCTCACTCGGGCGAACGATGTTGAGATACAGACAATCCTCGGAAGTATTTTTATAAACTCCATTGTCGGTCTTTTGCGTTTAAATTAGTCAGAGTTTGTACAGCAAGCAGGAAGTTCACTTACACCATATCCAATACAGGCAGCGGAGTAGCTATTCGCGGGTTTCTTGCCTGTCCATGTCGTGTTAAGAGATTGGGCAGTGTTAAAGCGAAGGTTCCTGACAGGGGGCTGTGCATATGGGATTCCGAGGAAGAAGTCTTGATTATATGAGTTTGAATGAGTCCCTATGTATGTGCCATTCTTGACTTGAACTGTGGGTGGCTTTTTAAGCAAGGGAGGTTTTGACACAGCTCCTGTAATAAGAGCCAAAAGGATACCAAGAATAGAATGTTTCATGATGAGATGTTTCTTTTTACAGAGATTATACGAGTTGGGGTATTGCTTGAAATGTTGAGGAATCATTGTAGACCTTTTCTGGATCTCATTAACTTTATATAGATAGCAAAACTCATTACCTGCAGGATTTAATTGCATCTTTATTGGGGAAGCCTGTAATCAGCAACTTCTTACTACTGATTCTCGATTTGACTAAAAAGCTTAGCCCTGGCCAGGAAGCTTGGCTGATCTTTTCCCAGCCTGGAGAAAGTTTCGACGCTACAGAAGGACGCTTGGGCTGCACGTCCCCGCCACTTACCTCATGAAATCCGTCGGGCCCGTAGATTTCCTTTAGTCCTAGCCGGTGGTAAGACGTCAAGGCGATGTCCAAGACACGTAAACCACCATGGTATCTCGTGCCTCCTTAATAACTTACTCTTACTGTTGGCCTACACTACTGCCCACTAACAATTAAACTTCGAAGCTTTTACCCATATAGGGAAGATTTCTCCCAAGAACCAGAGTACCATCTTCATCTAGACACCAGATCTCCAATTGAGCCATGGGGTACACCGGAAAACCATCAACAGCTTGCCTTCCATGCCGACAGAAGCGAAGAAAAGTAACAGTCTTCCGTTGCTATTTCTCCCTGCTCTCATGACTACTGGGGCTGACATGTGTCTGTTAGTGTGATCATGCCATGCCTGGATGTTCGCAATGCTTGCGCCAGAAAATCCAATGTCCTGGCTATGAGACAGACTGGGACCTGCGATTCAGAGATGAGACAATCTTCTTGGTCGGCGCATGTGTATCCATGCTGCCTACAACATCCGCGTCAGCTGCATTAACCGCGCTGTTGAGGTTCCTAAGGATCTCATTAAACTGGAGGAAGACTTTTACAAGGCGTTTAATTTCCCCAGGGCTGTTCGAGACCATTACTCCATCATGAATAGAACCTGCAGTATCAAGGCTGACTTGAAAAACGGGCTGACTCCTGAACTCATCTGCCGAGCTCTGGAAACCGAGAACGACGCAGACCTGTTCATCCAAGGGTTTAGCCCACCAACAAGTACGGCACAAGAGGGCCTACGCAGCACATCTCCAGCAACTCCTCGTCAACCTCTGACTAACAGTGTTATGCTTCACAGCGCAACGGGCGCTCCACCTTTGGCAATGATGGCTCGGTGGTTATTCGGAATGTCAATGCTTCGATTGGTACTGAATGAGATTATTTGGAGCGGTGCTCCAATGTACGACGGCCACCCTGAGACCCTGCAGAGAATGTACCAAGTCAGCGGTGGACTTCATGGAAAAACCGTTAGTGAGCACTTTCAGTCACATCTAGCGGCATATGCTGTAGGGAAGATCAGTCAAATTTCCAGACAAGTTCTCGCTTTTGCACCCAGGTTCCTGAATGCAGAGGATCTGGTTCCTCACTTTACCAAAATGGCTCGCTGCATAGTTCTACCTCTGGCATTTATTCAGAGTAGCCCTTGCTGTCCGCCGGACATTTATCAAGAAGCCAAGGACCTACTTATGAGATTCGAAAGCGACATTGAATCATCGCAAGGCCAATTTGCAGCAACCGTTCTTTATACCTCAAGGCTAGCAGGGGAGTGGTAAGTCGATCCCTGTTCAGTATGTTAGGTCTCCTCTAACACGTTGCTGTATAGGCTTCCCTTACACCATATGATATAGAGTATCTAGAGGACTAAAGCTAAAGAATGGTGTTATACTCTTAGATGTAATAGTCAGAGTAGTCGCTGTATAGTCTCTTTTATATTCTGCTTCTAATATTAATCATAAAGTAAATAGAAAATGCATTCTAGTACTATTTATACATTGCATATTATCCTAATATTAAACGCAATTCTAGATACATGAGACAACAATATTATCGCCTATACATGTAGTTGGGCTCATTACTTGATAGTAGCCTTTGTCTCCCCGTATATTGGTCGCCATAGCTTAAGGAGTATGCATCCACTTCCATATGCCCTTTTGGATCCCCCGGAAATGGGTCAAAAGTCGCAAAAGGCTGCATTGACGTCAATCCGGTATTTGATATAGTCAACGTTCCCCCATCCACTGCTAAGACCTTCTTCCGACCCATGGGCAACAGGGTTATCTCTGGAGCTTTCTTGACATATCCTGGGTTTGCTTCGTTCATTTCTGAGGTAGTATGAATCAGGTTCCCCAGAAGAGTGCTAGACCAGTGTCCATGGGCAGAATACATGAGGCCTATCCAGATAACTGCAGCAAGTACTAAAGCCAAGCAGGTTAAAAAGAGCTGCAAGCTAGACATAGCTACCATGAGTTTATCAACGCTGAGTTCCACAAGTGACGGGTCGATGCTGACGCTGTAAGCTCTAGCAGTCAATAATGCCTCAATTGCTCCAGAGTTATCCCGCAGCCAAGTCAGGGACTTTTCGTCAAGTGACTGAGCACTAATGTTTGATCGAGCAGCACCTAAACCACGCGTGATCATTACAGCAGCTGTATCAACTTGACCAAAGAAGCCATGTTTAACATCTGGAGCTTTGGAACTAGTACAATCAGTCTGCGTGACCTTTCCACCGAATCCTTCGTTCTGGAAATTGGATCTTTCACATTTCTCAAAAGGCTCTGGGGCCTCAGAAAGTGTTTCCGATCGAATGAGTGTGATCTTTGTGGTGGTAATGCTGATGAGAGAATACATGCTGGCGTTATTGACTTGCGGGGTATAATAACCCCAGTTCTTTTGAAGAGCGGACTTATTGTTGTTATCAGCGGTGTTTGCACCAAACTGGTAACTGGCACCCTGATCCTGAGCCCCCATTATGTCGTAGATAATACGGCCCATGAGAGGGTTGGCTTCTTTGGTACTGTCTTGGTCGGTGCTGGTGCTCCAAGTCCGGTTGACGAAGTCAGCGACTTCATATTGCCCAAACGGAATACCGGGATTGGTCACCATTGTCGCCTTAAAAGTGGACTGAAAAAAGGTGTGGCGTCTTGTTTCTTTGGTCACAGTAAATACTTGATTCATGAAGGCTGAGCCTCCACCTGTGCCCAGTGAGACCCAAATGTTGTCGGCCCTGTTAGGCCTGATGTATCGTGAATCCATGTCTTCGTCAGTCGCATCGTTCCAATGAACCTCGGGCAGTCCTGTTACCCCTTCAATAATGCTCTGCGCTTCGGCATTATTAAATGTGCAATTCCAAACAGCAGACCCTTCATTAAATAAGATGCATGAACTAAACAAAGTCATATTCATAGTATCAGTATAAGGCATCATCGCGTTGGTGTCCGGGGAAACTGAGAAGCCGTCACCATCTAACCAAATACGGGCACCGATACCAAGCCCTTGTCGTGTCGGCGCTACCACTTCAGGTGTCCCATGGCTGTTGTCCACTTTCCCTGTTAAACTGTAGTTGAGACCCGGATTGAATAGTTCAGCACCAATGATTTGTGGGAGCTTTTCCCCGGTGCTTCGAAGTTCAGTCGGATCTAGGGCCAGTTGTATGATGTAAGGAGGGTTCTCGTTTCTTTGGCGTTGGTCAGCAGCGACGGTCGTGTTTGTTGCCTGGAAGATGTAGCCTGGTGAATCCAAAGCCCAAAGAAGTGTGCCATAGAGGGATGAAGTAACGCTAAGAAGGCTAAATAGTAGAACGACTAGCCCACCGCGCGAAATGCCCCGGGAGGAGATAAAGAGTGATTGCTGGATGTAGTCTTCTGTAAACATAAGATATGCTGTGAATTGGTTTGATCGTGCAGCAATAAGCGAGAAGAGCTTAAAAATAAATATGCCCATAAGCAACTCCGCACATTTAAAGCTAAAAGATTTAAGGGCACTGTGATACAACGGTATCGATGACTTGACAAATCCCGAAGTTGATTCAATCATCTTGAATAACGCGATAGTGTATATTAATGAGTCAAAGGACAAAGAGGGGTGAGGCGTCCTCTCTAAATCTCTGGCGCCAGTAATACAGTTTTGAACAAGAGTTGAGCAATATTCTTATACAGGCTTGTAGCAACAGGCGCGTAGACTAGAATGAACTCTCTCTGATTGGCGCGTCTTGTGATATTGCGTAGATCACTGCTTTATCGGGCTAGTCAAACCTTTAGCTGCGGTGGAAAAATTAAGAATAAGTGAAAGAGGGGTCCTTCTGCGGAAGCTTTCCGTGATTGTCTTCCGTTTTATATATTTACTATTACACTACCTTGCTTTTATTACTCTCTCCAAACCTTATTAAGAAAATGCTGGGGATTTAACGTTAAAATGATATGCAAGGCCATTGCTTATAACTATGTTAAACTTTTTTTACCTTTATTATCTTAGAAGCAGGAGTTATATAAACCTCAGCTATATAAAAAGGACACTAGGGTAGCCAATAAGAGAAACCTGCTTTTAGGCCATAGTAGAGACACCTACTATTAACTTGCCCTCTAGTAAAGTAATTTAATAATATATCTAAACCAGCTAAGTAAGTATAAATTAATAAAGCTATTAGCAGTTGTCTTCCATTCTGTATTACTAAATCAATATTCAAGGAGGCCCATAATATTCAGACGACACAAAACGCAGCAAATTGAGTGGACCAGTCTTGACCACATTCGGTACTAGCTTCGCTTATAAATTGTGTTCGCAACCCAGCGTGTAGATATAACGCACAAGTGATGTACACAAGATGGGACGCCGCCATCAATAGTATGAATCAATCAATTCCGCAATTTACAATACATATCATACCTCGGCACTGAGCGATTCCGAGTCAGTGGCCAAGCTTATGAATCGCGATTGCAAACTGCTGATTCATTTTCCATCGGGAGAGGAGCTGGAGTTGGTATTGTTGGGTGCAGCTTTTCACCGCAGTGACGCAAGTGTCTAACTAACAGGAGACAGCATAAAAATGGACCGACCCCGCTAACTGGAACACTCATGTCTCCGCAGCTCCGAGAGAAGCATAAACCTGAATCATGACACAAACAAAACACCTTCAAACGCTCCTGCAACCCCGTGAGAATACTCCACTGGCATGGAAGACTCTGGATAAATGGCTCCCTCCTTTGTTGAACGACAGCGACTGGTGGTGGAAGACTCTCGGCCCACAACTCAACACCCTCCTCACAGAAGCGGACTATGATTTGAACGAGCAGTACGAAGCTCTACTGTTGTTGTGCCGATGGGTCGTTCCGGAAATGGGACCCAGGCCACGGTCAAGCATAGCACCATGGAAGAGCTTCATGACTGATGACCACTCTCCCATTGAGTATAGCTGGAAATGGAACTCTGGAAGCAAGAAGCCCGACATTAGATACGCCATTGAGCTCGTCAGTCCCTTAGCTGGAAGTAAGCAAGATCCATTCAATCAAATCCCGACGCGGAATCTTGTTTACAACCTTGCCAAAATCATTCCCGAACTCGATCTAACCTGGTTTGAACATTTCTGGCATGAGTTGCTAGGTCCTGGGTCTCCAACCACGGCCACCTCTGGAATTTCGACAAAGGGCTCAACTATTTTTGCGGCTTTGGAAATGCTGCACGATCACTTGTCTATCAAAGTATATTTCATACCAGCTGAGACACCAGATCGCAGTGCGTGGCACCAGATAAGACATGCGATTGAAACCTCAGGATGTCAAAATCTCGAGGCTTTGAACCACGTGGAAGCATATCTCTCTAAACACGACGACGGAAGACGACTCCGCCCCTTCATGTTGGCAATAGACTGTGTCGAACCCGGTGCTTCACGGCTCAAGATATACGCAAGGTCCAATCAAACCTCTTTCCGCTTTGTCCGAAACGTTATGACTGTTGGTGGACTTCGCACCGGTTTGGATAAATCTCTAGAGAGGTTTGCCGATTTGTGGAAACGTACACTTGGTCTCGACCCTGATACATCACCTGAAGACGAGCTACCCAACGTGGATCATCTGACTTCTGGGGCGGTATTCAACTTTGACGTCGCACCGAAATCTTCTATTCCCGACGTCAAGGCGTATATACCAGTTCGACACTACACCAATAACGATCTTCACGCTGCACTTGGGCTTGTCGGGTATCTTGAAGACCACGGCCATGGGTATTACTCGCAATCGTATCTTCGTACATTGGATATGTTGGCGCCGCCTGGTCAGCTTGACCAAGCCACTGGGGTTCAGACCTACTTCGCAGTTGCGTGTCAGGGCGATGACCTGTCCCTCACTTCATACTTGAATCCTCAATTTTATGCAGCATTTCGAGAACCCGAAAGTACATAGATCATAGTAATTTAATTCCATAGCGGTCATATGCTTAAGCCAGTGACAGGAACAAACAAGCGACCTCATATTTACTCTGGCTTCCTTGCCCACACAGTTCTCAAGCGAATATACGGGTGATTCCTCCTGTCTCTGATCTCTCGCCGGAACTTGGCGATGTATACATGGACCTCCTCGGGAGTCCATCCTAGAGTGTTGGCAACAAACAACACTAACCCTTCAGTGTCCTGAGTACTGAACAGCTCACCAAACTGACCAATTTCTTTAAGCTTGGGATCTTTGGGGAAAGGATTCAGGGGTAACTAAAGGCGAGAAATGTCAGCGTATCCTTAATTAATGTTGAAGAATGGCTTACCTTTGAGTCCCATTGCTTGACATCTGTAAAACCAGCCTTTTCGATGCCAGGTCTCTGAAGCTCGTCTCCTACGACAGTGAACGTATTTCCAATCGTCTTTGAGGCCTTGATAAAGATAGGCCCCCACTGAGCCAATGCCGAGTCGGGCTTTACGCTATCGTCATCACTCTCGATGATAGCTGAGGCTTCAAAGGACTCGACCCAACCGCCCGGCTTGAGAGCCTTGAAGGCCTGTTCAAAGAGCTTATCCCAATCGGGAACACACCCAACTAAATAGCGTAAGTGGACGTAATCAAAGGACTCCGGAGGGAAGGTCCAATCCTGATTGAAGTCCTCGATCTCGCTACATAGAATGTGAGACAGTGACATCCTTTCATGAACGGTTCAACCCTTACAACTTGACATTAGGCGGCACCCATGAAGGTTGGATTGGAGAGATGTCCGTCCCTATCACTTCGCATCCGGGATACTTGTCCGCAAAATCACTTCCAGGTCAGCAATAAGGTAAAGCTTTAGGACTTATCAACCACTAACATGGCCCATATCCCTGTGAGATAGATGCAAAATAAGCACGACAACTCCAGACGACTTTGTCACAAGCATTCACATACCTGTTCCGCATCCAACGTCAAGTACCTTCTGGTAGTAGCGGATGGCTTTAGCCTAGAGCTTGTTGTCCTGGAAAACCAAATGACTTACTTGAATGTTATCATTTAGCGGAGCTAAATGCAGCTCGCCGTCTTGCGAAAGAGTAAACATGTGATGCCTGGACGTGTTAGTTGACACAGCTCATCAAAGGCTTTAGATCTTACGCAATGTCCATCGCTTCACTTTGTCGTTCATCATTAGAGCCCCTGGCACAATATCAGCCTTGCTTTCGGTCACATAATGACTGATATTACCAATAGGCAGCATTCCCTCTCTCGCTGTGGTAAGTCCTGCCATTGATGGTACGGTAGTGGAGGATGCTTGAGGTGATGGAGGCCGTGGAGCTTTCGGAGTCTTCGCCGAGACCTGGATCATCTTCCTCCCCCTCAGGAAGATCATCGACTTCAAGCGCCAGTGCAGCAGTTGCGACAGGTCCCTGACTCTGGGGAGATCGTGGAGACCGCGGCGAACCGCTCTTGGGGCTCTTCTGAGACATGTTGCAGCAGCGCAGTAGGAGACAAGAGTTGGAGACGAGCGACAGTGAAAGCTGCGCTCTGACCGAGATCAAATGCGTCTTTTAATTGTGCGTAAAGCTTCGGGGCTGACCCTCAAGTACATGATCTGATTCGATAACCCTCTAGGTGCAGTGTAACATGTGACGGATGTTCCTTGCCTATAGATTTGAGGGTCATTACCAACCAGCCACTTAGACGATGGTATTAAGCGACTCAGTACCACTTACAAGCCCATTCGGAGTGGGAGGAAACAAGGGGTTTGCCGTCTTGGCAAGAGTCATTGAGAAAGGTCGCAGTTGAGCCGAAGTTTTATAAATAGATTTAGAAAGTAAGGGTATCTGCTCTGTAATTCCATTCGGACTAGTTGCCACTAGCGAATTCAAACCATTACCACTACCCAAGAGATTGTCTACCGGTATTTTTGCCGCGTCATGGTACGTATAGCAACCCCGCAAAATTTAAAAGTTGGAATCAGTGACCCAACCCCGCATTTTAATTATCCCGCGACTCCTGTCCACCCACTTCCTGACAAAGAGACGTATACGCATATGCCAAGCAGTAGACTCCAACCTGTACCCTACTGTCCCTTGCCCATCTGTAGACAGTTGTCGCTCGCTTCAATGACTCTCTCATGTAGTGACTGCGGTGCCACTTTCGCTAGAGACGAGCATCTTCGACGTCATCAACGACGACACCTAGACATTCGCCCTTATAGTTGTCGAGATTGCAACAGCACCTTTACACGAAAGTGAGTCAATGGCAAGCCCATATCACCTCTCGGCTACAACCGTGTTAATAAACGCCAGGGATACTCTGAATCAGCATTTACTTACCCATGATCCTGCCAGGATGACTCGTAGGTCTCGCAGGGTAGCCTACGTGGCCAAGGCTTGTACTTCCTGCGCCCGATCTAAACAACGTTGCGACGGTCATTCGCCCTGCGGAAGGTGTTCTCTCAAGAATCTCGATTGCTTCTATCGGCCTTTACAACAGAAAGGGCAGACCTCACCCCGTGGCGTCAGCCCTCAGTCTCCTTCCTCCAGCGAGAGGGACAGTCATTTGCATGATACTTTACCTCTAGTTCAGAGCCAGCCAAGTCCTTTGACACTTGATTTAGCAAGAAATGTTCACAGCCGCGCATCAAAAGCTGTGGGTGAACTTCCTTCTCTATCAACAGACGTCGGCAATACTTCTATAGAGATGCACTTGGATTCCGGCCAAGAAACGGGTCCTACTGGCGATTTTGGGCAGTCAACTAATCTTAACGGAGTCTTCGTCAACAATTTTACCTTTGGGGCTGAAGGATTAGACTTCCAAGATTGGGAGTCACTTGGTATAGATCTTCCCTGGAACAGTTCCGTGCACTCCATGCTCGACCATCCATTATTGGAACTACCGCACCCCATGACATTCTTTTTCCCGAGTCCAAGCGAGGTGCTCGGCCAAGCTGATACCTATGATATATCGACTTCTATGGATAGTGAGCCCATGGTCCATCAACTTGAATGCGAAACCCCAACCCCGAGCTTTACTCAGTCCTTAGCCAACCCAAGTTCTCAAGGCCAAGGCAGCCAGACATCGCCTGAAACCACTTCGCACCCCTCGCTTAGAGATGATGCCGACCTTGAGCCATGGAGGGCAGAAGACTATGGGCATGTACCCTATATAACCAACGAAACTTACCAAGTCATGACTTCCACTTTCAAACAACTCAATAGCGATAATGCATATTGTATCCCATTCACGAACAAGCATTTGCCATCTCTACAGCACATGCAGATCTATATGCAAGTTTACTTTGAAGACTATCACCCTGTTTTCCCTCTACTCCATAAGGCAACATTCTCACCTACTAAAGACGACTGGCTACTGAGCCTCGCCGTTTCATCGATCGGGTGCCTGTTTTCGAAAACCTTGCAGTCAAGAGAAGTCTACCCCATCATGCAGGAATTTCTACGCCGAGCTATTCGCATACAGGTCAGTACGTCCTTTTCTGAATCCTCGATGTGACCTTTTCAAATCGAGTCGATATTGACAAAGCTTACTTTCACTAGCTGGAACGAAGTCAGACTTTAACACCCAGTATCTGTGTTGCTCAGGCTTCCGTCCTGAACCAGATTGGCATGATGTACGGTGGGGATCTAAGATTTGCAGAATGCGCCCATGAGGCAATGGCACAGCTTGCAACCCAATGCCGCAAGATAGCTTCATTCTCAGCCAACTTAGCTAAGTCATCACTGGCTGAACATGTGGTATCTCAAGACTGGCAAGCATGGATCAGGGCGCAATTAGAGATTCGTTTGTTTTACTGCGCTTGGGTAGGTGTCTTTCATTTTAATTAGTTGACCTTCAGAAAGCCTGAGCATGATGGTAACTAACTTGGGTTTAGCTTATAGATAGCCAGCAAGTTGGCTTCTTCGCTTTCTCATCCACAATTCCAATCGACTTTCTTCAGTTTCCCATGCCAGTTAATGAACGTGTCTGGGGCATTTCTACTACCGAGACGTGGAAGCATAGTCTCACAGAGGGTATGGGCTGCAAGTATACTTGGTAGACGGCCTAGAGCTGACATTGTCTTTAGATTCATCTTCTCAACAATTAATCTCTCTCCGCCAGGTGCTCCTGGGCCTTTACCGTTATCGTGAGCTCCCTGGTCATCTTGATGCGTTTAACTCGCTTCTTCTGGTCATGGGTATTCTAAGTGACCTCTCTTGGCTTCGTCATGCTCATTTATATCTGGACATACTGCAGCGACATGTCGAGACCTTGCCACCCACAGCTCTTAGTCGAGCTTGCATGACTAACATTCACATGGTTTCACTCTTGATATACTTCCCGACTAGAGAGGTTATCGCATTTGGACGCTGGCGGGTCACTGAAACCCAACATTCAATGGTTGTTGACAAACTGAAAAGATGGATGTGTAATCCTCGCAGTGCGCGAGAAGCTCTGATGCATGCATGCAGTATTTGGTCCCAGATTCGTTCAAGCAGCACTAATGCCCAGCATGAGGCACCCGCTTTCCTACATAGCGCTATCTCCATCTGGGCTTTGGTTGAGTATAGCGAAGCACTTGACCTTGGAAATCTAGATGAATCTCCGGTTCTACGGTTGGATAGCCTTAGTCAAGATGTCAAGTCCTGGGCTGCTGGGACTGACAAGAAACGCCCGTACTTAAGTGGAGTTGGGCTTTTGGGGCACCAAGGTGCCTTAGCCCGGTTGATAAGTGAGACTGCAAGATTCCTAGAGGAAACGATAGCTTGGCCTCAAGCTCGGAGAACAGGACCATATTTGAAACATTCTTATGCCGAGTCACAGAAGCCTCGCCAGTGTGTAAGTTAGTTGGCCTATGCCTGCTTAATATAGATTGAGAACCCTTAGTAATTAAACTGCTATGAGAGTGATTGAAACCACCCGCACGATTCAAATTTAATACCTGCAATGAATCATGCTAACCAGCTAAGGGCTCCATCTTTGCTCGGCCCTGTACAGCTCCCTCAAACTCCTTCTGTATCGTTGCCAGTCTTTCCGGGCTTCTCACAGTCAGTACAACAGGCAAATCCAGTCCAGGATTACCGGGCATATCGCCTGGAAAGCTTTGGGGGTCAAGAGGAAGCTTTGTTCCTGGCTTTAAACTTATGTCGAAAGCCCAAAGAATACGCATAACACTCACAGCAAAGCTTCTATCCGCGACATGGTAACCGGGGCCTATAGCAAAGAAGAGTTAGCAAGACAAAGCGGCACATGGGTCTTATCAATTGAATTACAGATACGACGTCCAGCTCCGAAGACAAAGTGGTCTCTTGTGGAAACGTCAGGGGATGCTGCGCTTTCCTGGCTCTGATATTTAGTTAGCATATTCTTAACTACCTTTTATCCATTGAAGTGTCTTACTGATCTTGTATCACCATCGAAGCGCTCAGGAATAAACTTATCGGGATCTGGGTAGCGTTTAGGGTCTCGGTGGATTGCCCTTGAGTTCTGTCTTAGCAAGTGAACTAGTTGAAACAAATATAACTGCTTACCATGCGTTCAGATGTATCCTCGCTCCCTTTGGTATGCGGTAATCCTTGTAAACTATGTCTCGAGTGGTGGTATGGGGATGACCTAGAGCAACAGGTGGGCGCCATCTCCAGGATTCCTTCATCACCTGGCGAATATATGGCACACGCTCCAAATCCTCATAAACAGGAACCCTATCTCCAACAGCCTCATCTAATGACATCAGTACTTATGGCTTTTTGTACACCAGGGTGATAGAAACAGACTTACCAATTACCCTTCTCGCTTTGTTGCAAATATCTGGAAATGTCAACATGGCCTCAAGAAATGACCAAGTTGATATCCGGCTCTATCATATTGTTAGTATTGCAGCCTAAAGAAATAGAGGTACAGCAGTGCTTACTGTATCTGAAGCCCCGATGATCAACATCATGCCCAGGTATGCGGCATCCTCGAGGCTGTCAAGTCCCAGATGATTTGGATCTTGAATAACCCTTCGGATGAAAGTCATATGTGGCGGAGCCTCTCCGGCATCAATCAGTGACTTTACTCTCTGGGTCGTTGTGTTAGTCATGGCCCATTGGCTCCAGTGTTCTAGATGGACCTCACCTCAAGCTTATCGCAACACCATTCATAGTCGCGCTTGTGCCTGGACTTTGCGTCTCTTTCCCAAGGTTTAAGGAATAGGGGCAGCTTATCAAGAATGTTGAAAGTGTCAACTAGATAGTAGCCAGGGAGCATACCAAGAATCTGGGCTAGGCCTGTTTCGAATATGTAGTCAATAACTGGACTGTTGTCATCAGGGACATCGAGGCCAAAGATCTGGGATGAGAATGTGCTATATGTGTAGCGACCAATGCTCGACCATAAAGATTGCGGGTTGGCACCTTTATTGGGATTTTGAGCAATGTCATTCAGGAACTTCAACGTTTCGAAATGGAGAAATGGAAGACCAGCATCAGCGAGATTCAAGTTAGTCAGCCCGAAGGTTGTGGCCTTCCGCTGATTTTTCCATGCCTTTTCACTTGAGCTAAGAAGGAGAAGGTTGAGTCGGTTGCACATCTGCTCGTTACTGACAATCCAGCGCGGTCGTTCAGATGTTTGTGCCGCAGCCTTGTCGAAGATTGCCCTGACGGCTTGGTCGCTGTTAATGAAGTACTCTTGGATAGTACCGAGCTGGACGAAAAACACCTCGCCATATTCCTCGGCCCACTTCTGGAAAAGAAGGTGCTGGCGATGTTCCTTAGCTGCTTTCAGGACGGTTGGAAGATGGCCGGCGATAATGTTTGTACTAGGAGGTGAAGGGGGCAGAGGAAGAAGTGCCTTACTTTCCCGGCGTCTTGTGATTGCTTTTTGGACTAGGAGCAGAAGCAGGGAGAGCACAGCCAAGGCTATAGTGAGCTCCCGACTTGGCATGGGAATTGTTTGAAGCATAATGAGTCTTGGCTTCGTGACCTAAAGACTGAGGCTTGATATGTTTGGCAAGATGTAGTTATATGAAACGGGTTCTATTTACAATTCTTGCCGAGGACAGCACTCGATTAAATATATTATTTCAGTTAGAAAGAATAATTGTTAGAAGACATGGGCTCGGGGATGAAGCACCGACTCCTTGGAGCTAACTGCATTCGTGCTGGTTAATCCCGTGGGGTAACTTATAATCCCCACCGCGGGTTTTCCGAAGTCTGCGTACTCTCCATATTCCGATCTTCCGTCTTGCGGAATATGGGGTTCTGGGCTGATAGATACACGGCCATTGACCAAGTGTATTACTTTAGTTATTTGACTACTACTTAAAAAGAGAATATACATCCAGGTACTCCCTTAGGCCAAGATGCAGTATGCTTCTATAGAGTTCAAGGATTGGATCCTGTTGCAGTTACTGAGTAAGTTATTAATAACCAAATTACAAGCAACTGCAGAATGTGAGGGGGTTTACGTTGATTGAAGCCCTGTATCTACCAAAATTTCCTTACTTGGGGATGCAGCACATCCTATGCCTCCCGCTGAGGGCGTTTGTACCAATTCTGCTTTTCAAGAGGCGGCAGACTTGTGCTCTGGCTTGGGCGGTCTATACGACGCTTCTCAGGCTGGTGCGGTCAAAGACTACGCAAAGTTACTTACGAATCGTGGTGAACAGACAGTGACACACAGTGCCGGAGGCACAGGGAATATGTTTTAAATGAAGCCTTTCTCTGAATTAAGAGATGTGTCATTCTAGAATAGATTTCTGCCTGCTATGGGGCGGATGACTAGCAGGCAAACCATGATCTGTAGAAAGCCCTTGCTCGATTATATACTATTATTCTCGTTCCGAAAACTGCAATTTGCATTTTTTGTTAGTGGCTGGGGTTGCTTTACAATGCCACCTGTAATATCACATGAATTTCTTCAAGACTCATCTATGCTGCTTGCTGAGTATACATGTTATAATATTTGATATGAAATCATTTCTAAATCTAGTGTATCTCAAACTCCTGCTCCATATTTCTTATGTTACTACTATTAATTAATTCTCCGTCCATAATTCCATGGACATACGCCTCGCCAATTAATTCCAAGTTAGAATCAGAATTTCGTAAAACAAAGGGGAGCTGCCCTCCATATAGGACACAGAGCAGATCACCCGGTTTCGTTTCCTGCGGCGCCAAGGCAAGATAGCCTTTTCTTGTAGTTGCCAAGCATCGACGAACTGTGCGTCTATTTAAAAGGAGAGAGCAGCGGAAAAAGTCCTGGGGGATCGTATAAATATCTCCAGGAAGATCAACCTTTCCACCACGTTGATCTTCACCGTTCAACTGTGATGATTCCGTAATATCAGCACAGAGTGTATGTTGGAGAGCTTCAAATACAGTACCACCAGAAATATAATCATTCCCCAGTTGAGAAGCTAGTGAGAGCCAATTTCTGAGGACATCAACATCAGGAGTGATATTTGGGTCAGCATTCCGGGCTAACCCCACCAAAAAAAGCTCGTCGAACTTGATACCGCGAAGTCGGAGAGTCCGTGTTGTACGGTCTATCCTAATGACTGCAGGAATTGAGAAACACGCGTTGTACACTCGTTCAAGAGTCTTTTCATTTCTGTGGGAGAAATCCAAGGCGACCCATTTACTCGTCCAATCGGGGACCCAAGTAGGAAGCGATGGTGCTCTCCTCGAATAGTGACAATGTCCAAGGATATCCAAACGCTCGTCTCGACTCAGAATATGAGCTGCCAAGTTCGTGAAGACCTCCTCTGTTGAATTCTCGTAGTGCGGCGCTATATCCGGATGCCTGCCATCCTGACATATTGCCAGGATTGCGAATACTTTATCTCTCGGATCAGTTGCTTGATACAGTCTCATGCTAGGGAGGGCGTCAAGAAGAAGAAGCTTGTTTTCTTCCCTCGCCACCCGCATATGATTAAACAGCGAGGCGCTAGGATTATAAGCTTCTTTTTGCAGCTGTGTAATCCCCGGTTGCTTTGAGATGAGGAACAAAACACGAGCGGCTTTCCAAAAATGCTTAGATGATCTTTCGTATGGTCCATACCAGATCACTTTTCTCCTCGGCGTTGATGCTTCCTGAACTACCCACGCCCTGGTCCACCATGGTCTATGCAGCATATTTTTCAATGAAATCCAGTCCATCTGTTTAAAGTTATGGCTTGTCGGACCGAGAGAATCTGTAATGATAGCTTCCGCATGACTATGGTCATTGATGTTCGAATATTTCTGGCTCAGGTCGTAGAAAAAGTCTAGTAGCTTGATCGCAGCCATTCCATCCGTAAAGAATGGTAAAGAACCGAGCCAGCAAATGATTCGCTCTGCCTTTTCGTAGATATCTTTCATCCGGAGAACCTGGGCGTTGCGCTCCGGAATATCCTCTTGGTTGATGCATATGGCGTCGATCCAAAGCCATACACTACTATTGCCATTCTGTTCTATGTCTGATCCAAGTTCAGGAGTAAGGTTTTCCTTCGTGAAGCGCTCCTGTGCTTCCTTCAAGAACGCATGCAAATTCGACCGTACCACAAACTCACAGCCATTTAGTTCAATGATGTGGGTCCAGAAGGAGCCGCCCCAGGTATAGGATAAGGCCGTGTAAGCTGGGCAAGATGAGAGCTGGAAATGAGATATGGAGCAACAAATCTTTTCTGATGAAGAAGTGGGTAAAATTTTGAGAAGTCGGATTTCATCGCCGCTGATTGGGCAGTAGGTAAAAGAGAGAGTATTACCCATTCTGAATCGCGCTAGGCTGAGCTACTTTGAACGAGAGTAGGGGTATGTCTGGATATCTTCAGTTGGCTGGGATAACGGTCACTGTAATTTTACGGTAAGGAAACATATTGCCGGGTGTTATCGAGATGCATATAAGGGTTGGAAGGAATAAGCACACAGACACGCAGTGAGTCATTTACTAAACTCCATGCCACCCTTTGTTCGGAGGTAAATTGTATGCAGTCTTGACAAATCATATCCTAGTCGTACTGCTCATTCTCCTTCGCTCAGGCTTAGTTAATGATTGAATCATTATAAAGGTTAAACCGAGCGAAAGCTGCCAGTAGGCAATCACTTTCGAAATCCAATGAGGCGTTCTAGACTTAACAGTATATCAATGCGATACGAAAAAGGACAGTGGAACATTGTCTCTAGCAGAGTTGGAAAAGATGATACGGGGGCATTCTTTGGCTTATGGCTTAACATGGCCCACAAAAAGTAAGAAGGCGTAGAGGCCAGAGGGACTTTTCTAGCAAGGGAGGCAGTCCTGGGCGGGGTTTGAAACCCTGCCCTTGTTGGGTGATTCCGTATATCGACGGAAGGGCGGCGGAGTTCAAAAGCCTGTCCAAGTGGGGGCCCGAACTAACTAGGCTCTGCTTAGTTCGGCACAAAAATCGGTACAGTTAATTTGGCGGCTCTGCTTAGTGTTCGGGTCTGCCCTCATAAGCCAACGGGTAGTAGGCAATTGGCTGAGTTCTTCTGTTGCAGCTGTTTAACTATCTAACTAGCTGGGCTTGCTAGAATTTCGGGATGAAGCTTTTTGGTCTATTAAATATGGCTTTAATTAACAAGCAGGTTTTAATGCTACCACGAAGTGCTAGATTAATGAGACCTGAGTGACGATCGTCTTGGCCCTAAGGAAGTTGAAGATGAGGTTGATCTTCCCATTTAGGATGAGCTTCTTATTAACGTCGGGTTAGCAAAAAATAGGCAGCAGCCATGCCATTTATTAAGCATGGACTTAGTGCCAATCCGGGAGGTTAAACATGGTTTGCTGTCACTCGAATGAAGGCTAATGTGCATTTTTATGCATGTTAGGAAATGGGATATTTTTATCATGCTTGGACCTTGCGATTTTTAAACCTGCTGAGATAAGCCCCCTAGAACGGTTTCGTTCACTTACTCCGAAACACTGCTATCACATTAATTACTTAAACCATTAACTGGAATTATTACATAGTTAAGAGAAACAGTACTATATACATAATAAGCCAGTGTTATAAACAAGTGCGTATTACAAAAAGTTGCTTATTATATATATTAATCTTTCTTGTTTTAATCCCTTAAATATTTTAAAGTATGCTTACTTACCATGTTCATTCTCGCGACTCATAAAACTCTTGGTAAATGCAATCACTTCGGGCATTATGGTGGGTGATGTTAGTTATGTCTCACCATGACTTTCCCGCCTGTCAGCCCAGGAGCCCGGGAGCGACACACATGGTCTGCCCTCCTCGAAAGGGAGACCAGGTGATTAGGCTGATAACGGTCTTTTCGAAGGTTGTCCTCCATTGTCGTCCGGCTTGATTGGCGAAAGGTACTGTCAGCTCTGGATGTGGCTGACTGAAGCTCCAATAGTGGCGCTAACGGTGCATGGCCCCCCTGTCAAGCCCAAGCCGACGCACGCACGCGTGTATACCGAAATCAGACACATGCGTATGCCACGAGCTCAAAGCGGATATTGCTTTTGGATGCGGTTTGTGTCCGTGGAGACCGTCTGGGAAACTTTGTTGCCACTGTCTCACCATCCTGCGACGTGTTTCGGCTTCAGAACTATGTTGGCGTATGTTCCAAGGCACATCTTCGCTCGCCAGTCTTTGCTGTCAAATTTAGACTCATTAAGAGATCCTATGACTAGTATGTTTTGGGTTGCCAGAGGATCTCATCTTAATAGAAAACAGATCAATTAACTATCCAGGATGAGAAGTATGTCACACCGGTAGGTGCCAAGGTAGCGTCACACCTCAGTTGGGGCACTAAGCTTTGACACATTGGGAATAGCCCGCTAAAGGCCACAATTATTACCATAGCGTCGTGAACCGGGAATTATGCCTTGGGCCGGAAATACAGATACACGTGGCTTAGGTCATCGGACGTTTATATGCAGGCATCCTTTATTTACTTGTCAGAATGACGATTTTACACTCTAGCTCACTCAGCCGCATAGCGTCCCTGGCCCTCTGATTGATTGGCACTCATTCTACAAGAAGGTAACTGAGCGCCACTTAGTCCTTTGGTGTGATTTTCGTCGCAGACTTGCGTCCGAGCACCACCACTGAGGTCTTATCTCCAATGCCATTGTCCCGAATTGGGCGTCGGGGCTTAGGTCACGGTAGTTCTATGCAGTTGACACACGTATGAGCAGATTCCCAATTGCTGGTTGACAGCTTCGGGTAGTATTATTGGGATGAGTTAAGCTGAGGGTGCCGGGGAAGGAAAATTTGAGAAGCCATGGAACTGAACGTGGAGGCGTTAGGGTTGCGGGGAGACAAGGTTTCTGTCACTTTCTGGACGTCGCTTTTCCGTCTCTGAAGGCGTTTGTAAGAGGAGCATTATGTATGTCCACAATCACTTGATTGCCGCCAGTCACCCAGGATCCCTGACCATATAAAAGTATTTAAGATTTCCATATCTCTAAGTCTAACTTTTTTTAGCGAGTATTAAGTTTCTTTCTACACACTCACTGTAATATAACAAACATCTCCCTATTCTTATCTAAAGTCCCTCTCTTTAAAGTCACTCCATCCAGCACAGTTTAATTTCCTCAGAACCAGCCATGGACCTCAATTCTGCGGATAAGGCTTTGAGGTGGATGCGGAGAGACGAGAAGCCTCATGCCCGTTTCGAAGGAATAGCCATCCTCTGGATCGCGTTCTCATCCGTTTGGACTATCCTCTTGGTTGCTGGTATGGCATTCCTTTATAGGCGACGTGATATGCCAATCCTTCGAATTCGCGGCCTTCTTCTTTCATTTGGCTCTGTTATTCTACTCCACCTCTACTGGATCGCCGTTCAGTGGGTTTATGTCGTCGCGCTTCTCTTCCCGCCTGCCGTTGAGTTCTGGATCATGAGCATTTGGCTTCCGTTTGGCATTGCTTTATTCCACGCTTCTAATAGCCGCTTCCTCTATGTTGCTAAATCTCAAAGGAACTTATTTGCTGGCAAAAATGCTAGGCCAAAGTCAGAACGAGTTCCAAAACAGGGCTTGATCGGGCGTTATTCCAATCTTAACTATACCAAGAGAATGCTAGTCCTCGTTGGCCTTGGTATGCTATTCCAAGTAGGAAACCCAAAGCTTTAATTATAAAGGCAAGGCTAATGTAATATAGTTGCTCTTAACTACTTTTATGTTCCTGGTTTCGCGCAAATTTCACGACTCATTTGGTATTTCTGGTACAGAGGTTACTGGCACAGAATCGCAACGGAAGGCAGCAGCCCGTAAAGGTTGGGAATGGTATATTAATCTTAACAAGAACCCAGCCTCTTGCATCCAGGCCGCTAACACATGTTTAGGTGGCCTTCCATTGTTTGGCAACTAGTCTGGGCTTGGGTTATCGCTCCTGTTATTCTATGGAAGTCTCGAAACATCCGCGATACTCAAGGATGGAGAGTTCAAACCATTGCATGTTGCCTGGCTAACCTTCATGCGGCTCCAATGTGGCTTATCGCTCTCTATCTCCCTGCCATGGCACCCGTTAATAATGTTTTCGTTCCTCCACAATGGTACGTATAAGCCAATGCACAACCCAGTTCGCGTTATGCATCATGTTGACTTGACCCAGGATAGCCCTATCCATTATGATCATTGAGGTGTTTACTATCTTCCTTCCATGCTGGGAGGTTCTTCGTCACCAATCTCTCCGGCAAGAAACCCTTGATATCATCTCTCAGTGGGAGTCTAAAAAGACGACCATAGCTATTAGTAGCGCGAAATCTGCTTCTACTAGATTAACGATAGCGACAGGATCGTCGCTGACCGCTTGGTCTAAGGGAGAATCTATTAAATCTTTTAATTCTTCTGAAACTATATTTACTATGGGGGCTCTTGAATGTATGCTTGAACGCAACCCAGAGCCCCTTCAACAGTTTTCTGCCCTACATGACTTTTCAGGCGAGAATATCGCTTTCCTTCGAGCTGTTGCCGAGTGGAAGTCATCTCTTCCTGCCTCGTTCCGAGGTTCAAGCAACCAGGAGCAGTATTCCGCCATTCAAGAACTTATCCATGAACGATTCAACAGCGCGTTACGCATCTACGCCACCTTCATCAGCACTCGAGACGCCGAATTTCAGGTGAACCTATCCTCTCAGGACCTGAAAAACCTTGAGGATATATTTGAGGTTTCGGCTAGGACTCTGTATGGAGATAAACGCCCGGTAGACCCGGCGCTGCCCTTTGAATCATTCAACATGACCTCACTAGCCAACGTCAACTCTTCTGCTGCATCTGCTCATGGGTCCGAAGATGGAATCTTTACTACATCAAGAGAAGTGAATGCTAGTGCTCTTTGGTGGGGAGATATCCCTGAACATTTTAATGGGAGCATCTTTGATGATGCTGAGGCCAGTATTAAATATCTGGTCTTGACAAATACTTGGCCCAAGTTCGTCAAGGCCAAGCGAAATTCTTTGGAATCTATGTACAGCTAGGAGTGGGAAAACTTTAACAGATATAACTACTATAGCTATACTCCTTATATTAAGCTTAATTAGAGAAAAACGAGTTTGGTAGTAAAACTTAGCCTTACGTTCTAATTGCCTAAATATTAAATTTAAGTTTTATAATTTAACTGGCCTTTTGCTATTATATAAAGTATATATTTAGAGCCTAATAACCAAGTCCTTAGAGGTATATTATTCTTAATTTTTCTTTAATTAAAATTAAATTACCTAGGTCTTTTCTTTTATTGTTATTCGGTTATATATTATAAAATGAACTATCCTAGGTCACGTAAGCGCAGCTACAGCGATGCCCAAGAGCAGCGGTGCTAAAGAAATAGGGACAGTCTTTATCAGAGAGCCGCTGCTTTTGCTTCTGCCAGCGGAACCAGTTTGACTCGGCGCGGCATTGGATGGGCTAATCGATGAAGAAGCATCATTAACCCCAACAGCCGGAATACGCCCCTTTGTGGCTTGGTAATTGTCGTCATAGGGATAGACATTAGTGTAGTTGTATGACCCCCCAGACCTGCCCCACAGTGACTTGATAGATCCCAACACGCCTCTGCCGGCTGCGCACTTGGCTTCCGTGTCAGGTGTCGGCCACCATCCGGGCAGTTCTTGTACATCGTTAAGCGGCCCGGGGTAGGATTCACTCCACGACAAGCCTTGGTACGAGATGTCGGTGTTCTTGTAGCCTACTTTATTAGCCAGGACAGAGAACACATTAGCATCGCAGTCCCAGCGGCCGAGCGAGGGGAGATCCCAGTTCACCGAGATGGTGGACAGCATGGAATAGTGGTTGTAGTACATACTGTCTGTGGTGCCGCGTAGGGAGGGGTGAATGGCGCCTCCGAGGAGAACCGTGAATACCTTATTAGGAATGTCATTTTGTTTAGCCTCATCGAAAGTGACCACTATGAGAGTCTTGTTCATAAAGTACTCATTCTCAATAAGGGGACCAAGCCACTCATGGAGCCATCTGCCTGCAAAGGCAAGCCCAGTGTCGTGCCCATCATCGCGAATATTTGGTGTGAAGAATGCCCATTGAGGGAGATTTTTGCCCGCCAAATCTTGTTCGAAGCTGGTGAAATTCTTAATCCGAGCCATGCGGGTTGCATTTCTTGAGATTATATCGTAAGAGGACAGTGGATTATGCTTGCTCACATAGCCATCTCCATTAGCTCCTTGGACGCCGCGGTACGAAAAGGTCTCTTCATACTCAGCCCAGGAGATCTGCTTAGTGTCGAGGAGCTCAATGACGGTAGAGACGTTAGCCGGGATGCGATGGTAGCGGTCGTTCTGTAGACCAAATGTGTCGCCTCCCACGGCGGCAACATAGTTGGGTTGCGATGGGTGGGTGACTGCAAGAAGTGTTAATTGCACCACCGTCACTTGAGAGCTTAGTATCTCACCTGCGTAGTAATTCTCGAGCAAAACACCCTGCTCGGCGAGCCAGCGCATGTCCTTATTAACAGCTGCTGTCTGTCACTGATATATAAGCCTGTCCTATAGGACTTTTACAACCTACCGTCCCAACAGTCTAGGACTGGCACATACCTCGAAATTGACATTCTCTAGCCATATCTGAAACATACGGTTGAATCCTACCCCTGGTACCGTCGACCCTTCAATTGCCGGTGGAATGGTTGCTTGAATATCCCTGACGGCTTCCACGCTTGGCTTTAGGAAGATTGAAGTGGTCGGTTTGCCGACGACTGCTATGTCTCTGCGTATCACTAGCGTGAGGATCTTGAGGATTAGAGTGCTTAGGAAGGTCTTCATATTTTGTGAATGAATATCCGTCAAAGAATAATTAAAGATGTTATAAAAGGCTTTCTAATTTTTCTAGTCCGACGGCGCTGGAATTTACCAACGCTGCTGACTCAGATTAGTCTCTCTGCGTCAAATGACTTAATGTCATTTGTCCTGCAGTGATGACGAGCTCCTGTTCCTTTCTCTCGTCATAGACCGGAATTTGATCACATCTGTCGCCTCAACTGCGCCGAATATTTCACGGTAACCCAGAATAAAGTTCGGGAAGCGCGGCGAATGCTTACGTATATTAGAGCTGAAACCGGTATTTGACGTCCATTAATGAGAACGTAGTGACATGCCAGGCCACCATTGTTCCGTCCGTCCTCTAATGCTATTCTATTTGCCACCTCGGTATAACAGAGAGACAAATTGTCGTACCGAGCGTGCTGAAAGGATCCAAGGTTAGGTAAATCATAACTTAGTAGCAGTAGTCTGTTGATTAACTTGTATCTAAAGAGCGTAGTATTCTAGCCCAAAGACTTACTTAGGCACATACCTCGATCCCTAACTCCTGTTGTTTCCTGATACGCGTGGAGATCATGCGTGGCCTAAAACACAGATCTTCATTGCGTGAATGAGGGGAAATTTGGTAACTGGCATTGGAGAAGATACTCCGACAGTCCCTACTCTACATCTTGAATGCTTTTGTGCAATACCCCACCTGTTTTTAGGAACATGATTGGATATCTGACCCCGATGATTACGCAAATTGTGCTAAAGGGCGGGCAAAGAGATGCTACTGCATGTCCACGGGAGACGTCCTGGTGCCAGTCTCGGCATTCCTATTAACAAAGCTTGGCATCAAATAAGCATGGGGCCTGGGCTCTGCCACGAAAGTCTGTAGTAATGACGGATGGGTATTCCGAAGCCCATGTTTCAGGTCTCCGTTAGGCGCTTATCCCTGGCTGGCGTGGCGTAAGGCTCCCCAACATCAAAGTCCCAAGACAGAATTATCACATCGCGCTTCCTCCAAGTAGATCAAGAGAGTCCGAGACGCCATCAAACCCCTGCTCTGACCCTCCTGCTACCAAGCCAAGCCGATCGTTACTGGTAGTGGGTGAGGGCAGTTTGCAAAAGAAATAAGTTACACCAAAGCCCAAGCAGCGGGTTGCGCTGTGGCAGATTTCAACACGCCGTGCAGTTGAAGATACGCAGCCTTCCTCATGATTGGCCAGACATGCGATTTTGCGAACACTTTGCTAAAACGTAAGCGGATTCGCTAGCTCGCAGAACGGACGCGTCAGCTTATATGGCGTGGTAATGGATGATCCCACTTCATTACCCTGTAAGACGGAAGTCTGTGAGGGCAATTGGGGTAAGAGCGTCCAAGACGATAGCAGCTCGCGGATGTCATGTACTCTGAATGCACACAGGTAATGCATCGTGGTGCATTCAGCCACTTATTCCCAGAGCCATTTACATTCCCCATTCCTCAATCTTACAATATAAAAAGGATAAAATTTTATTTAATAACGCTACGCTTGATTAACAGGAGACGCTATCAGTTAGCAAGGTGAGGCTTATAATCATTGCTCTTTTGCTCGAATTGACCTTAGGAAGCGTGACCAGTCCCATCTTTCTTGGTGCAATCTCGCCAACTGTATTTCACACCCGACTCAAGGCCTGCATTTATCGTTGTATAGTCTACCCTAGAAAGATCGAAGAACCCTTTACTTCGCCACCAGTAACGAACTGGCATATAGTTCTAAACACAAAAGGGTCTAATTATCAAATAACGGCATCACCAGGAGCCTATGGTGCCTATTCAAGCCCGTTTGCTCCGGTGGCCAAAGATAATGGAATGACAACTATCGAGACTCAGCGTGGCCACAGCAAGGAAAGGGATTCTTGGCTCCTACACATCCACATTTCATCTTTATGCTACATATCACCCTCCCTAACTCAAGTGGTGGTGGACTCCGTTGTCCCAAGGCTAATCATGATCTCTTTGGCACCTTCCTCACAGCATCGTCTCCTTTATCCCAGAACTGTATGCATATTATAAATGGATTCTGATTTGGTGAAACTCTAATGTCAAATCTAGATTAAAAGACGAATACACAATGGCATCCCGAAGAATGTCCCTGCCCTGTCGTAAAGACCGATAGCAGCCCGACGAGAAGCATAAAGCCTGAGAGAGAGATATATAAGATTATTCCCTTAAAATAGTTAATTGATAACTTAATATGAACCCCTGCCGCTGCCATGCTGAGACGTACTGGAAGTCGTCGAGGAGACGTTTATGAACGAACATGGTTTAATAATGTGTTCTATAGATTAAATCTGTTTAATCTATGGAATCGTTGATATATTCGTATTGCAACTAGGATGTGGTGAGAAAGAAAAACCACGACGCCGTGGGTTGGTCTCGTTTGAGCACAGTGTTGAAGATATGCCCTGTACCTGTGAAGTGCCTCGGAGCTTAAATTCGCCATTTTGAAGTCTCTGCATATAAAAATAAGAAGGTAACTCATCTAATAAGATGTAAAATATTACTTGTTGTGTTAATATCTCTAGAGTATAAGCCTTTATTTTAGTAAGTGGCTTTAATATAATTTTAAGTTAAGGCTTTTTATAGGCATTTTCTTACTTTTCTTTAATTTACTTAATGCTTTAGAATTCTAAGATGTATTAGGGATATATTATAACTAAATATGTTTTCGTATTAAGTATTTCTAAGTAATAGCCAGTACTACTCCTTAATTTTAATATTAAGGATAAGTCTTTAAACTATGGAAGGCTAACTTTGTATTACTAATTAAGATAAAAATTATTAGGCATTCCTTGATATATCTAATTTATCTGCCTAGGTGATATCTATATGGTTTGCGCCAGCGGAATTAAGCGTTTGATTCTCCTACTGCCCCTTTCTCACGGTGCTCAATAGTTTCGACAAACAGAATATCCACAAATGACGACATATTGCTCACTAGGCCCTTATGAGGCCCGACTTCGCTGGAGATTTGTGGGCCCGCCTGCGCGTTGGTTTCGCAGTGACCTATCACCTGGAGCTCAATGTCTACTGCCGGTGGCGTCTTTGGGTTATTCGCTGGGATCGTGAGCTTACATGAGCCTTCTGATCCGGCGCATTGCTCTGATTTGTGTTTGCTTTCTTCACCATTGACCAAGATTTCCTTTATGCTAGTGGCACCTCCGTAGGACAGCCGGTCCGG